ATGCGGGCAAATCCTGAATGACGCTCGATGACATTCGTGGGGAGAAAAATTCTCTCGCTTAGTAACAGAATTAAATGTTACGTGGGATATTTGCACCTTGATGCTTCAGACAAAAAGTATGTCCATAAAACGCCCACATTTTTCTTGAATGTCAAGACTGTTTTCCAGTGTTCGAATGGATTTGGCCGTAATTTTGAAATTTTTGTGACGAGTACAAAAAGTATATCAACCCATCCCATTTGTTAAATATTTTTTTTGTAAATTGAAAGTGGATAACTACGTCCAATGATTATTCTTTGTATTAATAGTCCCCGTGGTGTTTCCATGACAACCATACCGTACATGTAGATATGTATCTGTGTTCATGCATGGCGTGTGACCCATCATAGCATCCGATGTAAAAAAAAAAAAAAATTACTAAAAAAAAAAAGAAGAAATCCGGATTAAAAGAGACAACCAATTAAAACTTAAATTAGTGTTTCGTGGCTTTATTTACTGCTGTCTTTGTTTTTAAAAAAGGTAATTTTGGCTGTTTTTCCCAGCCCAGTGTACATGTAATAACACCCCTCTTTTTATTTATAAAAATTGTTCACCAATGACAAAGAGTACCGTATTTTGCATAACTTGAGAAAAGACTGCTCAAATTGAAATCAAATTTGAGTTGAAGATTGGTCTCAGCATCTCAAATTAATGTATTAGAGGGTGAAAGGTCAAAGGTTATGGCCAAGTGTCACATGACCTGTTACATTTGGTGATATGTTATGATATTAACACCCATTAAAGTCATACGTTGTGTGCTTGTTAACTTTTGAAATACTTGATATATTTCAATTTTAAATTTAATTCATAATGTTCTCAATCACCTAAAGACGCCTATAAAATTTGATTTTAAAAGGTTAGTAGTTAAGGTCGCAAACAAGACGTCGGTATATAATATGGAATTAAGGATTATATGACAATCTTTCTTTTTTTGGCACCTAAAACTTGGCTCACATATATAAAGAACTTTTGCCATATTTGGAATGAAAATTATTGGAGGTATAGAAAATACACACAAGAATAATTATAAACTTAGACAAAGGCTCTCAGACGGACATTTATGAATTGTTTTAATATAAAAATCCAGCTTATGATACAAATCTACTGCCACAAAGTAAGGTTGTTTTGAGCTCTAGTAGTTGAACCGTGACTCACGACATTTGGAAATTTTTAAATTATATCAACTGAAAATATTTTCATATTTCAAATAAATATTCCCCACTATTGCAGCAATCACAATGTGTCAAAATTGCATTCCTGAGACTCATATCCATTCATTGATAAAATTATTATAATATCTATTTAATATACATAGTTTACACAGATTTATCCTGTAGCCAATTCTGGACAAATTTTAACTGATATAGGGGTTAAATTTTATGCAGCCACTAAGAGAAGGCATGTTACATAATAGTTGTGTTCAAAGGATAATGGCTGGACACCAATCAAAAACAATAATTAATACACCATGCAATTTAGCTGGTAACCATTTTAGGCTGGTGCCAATGATGATAGGTCATGAATTATCTACCCTATGAATTCAATGTGATGATTTTTGTAAAGGGAACCAGACCAAAAAAATACAAAATCTGGGAACCAAAACCTTCTGAGTGTTTTCTCCACACTTTCATGGGTTTTTTTTGTGGAACTGGGGACTTTTCAAGAACAACAAAATTCAGCACTGGGACAGCGGACTTGGCCGGAATGCAGGTGAACATTGGAAAAGGCAAGTTACCTTTCTTTATAAATGTAAATGATAAACTTAATTCACCCCTTTGACTTACATTGTGTTTATGCTCCTTATTTACATAACAAGCGCACATTTGTCATGTTTGTAGAAAAGTGTATTGAACAATTTACAGTGGAGGGATCCTGCGTTATTCGATATATTAAAATGAAAATCTTTTTAAAAAATTCAAAAACGCAATATCCAACAAAGACCCATTGACACAAGAACCACCTAAGGCGAACTTAAATTAACCAACTTCACTACGAGCTCGACGCCCAAAATATTGGAGCCTGGTAAAATAATGTACGCTGTGGCTATCATTACGGCAGCCGTAACGCGCGACTTTCAACTGCTATCATTACGGAGCCGTCTGGTTCCCTGTCTTTGACTTTTGGAACCAGACTATCAACCAAATGGTTCTCGGACTTTGCTTCTTTTTTAAAATAAATCCTACAAAACCACTGATTTCAAAGAAGAAAATGAAATCTACTTAAATAAAAAGAACAATTTGATTAAAAACGTGAAAATTAAGAAATCTATTCAAAAAAGAAATTAAAGAAAAATTATTGAGTAGCACGGCAGGGGTTCGAACCAGGGTCCCAGCTCATTGAGCTAACGTCGGTACCAATCGAGCTACCGAAGCGCCCTCGTTGGATGGGCAGTTCTAAATTTGATATACGTTCGCATGGTGTTTTTACAATGCCATAACAACAGTATTTAAAAATTGCGTTACGGCTGTCGTAACGATAGCCACTATCAATAATGTATTTTGTGTTGTGCTGCCCACCAAATACGCATTTACATTGGTATGAAACAAAAAACCTCCATTAGACACTGACCCCTTTTTCAAATTTCTTTATTTTTGTTGTACCGTTTGCCCATGTCTTTATATCATTAAGTACAAAAATAATTGATTTGGATATGAACTTCATGTTATGGAAGAACTAATTCTATAGGTCTAAGCAAGTGCACGCTATGAAGTTGACTCAACTAAAGCATGGACTTTCCCTTATTACCACACATGATACATATTTATGAGCTAAACTCAAAGTTTCTTTGGTCAACACGTAATTTGACTACCTCCCTTTGTTTCGCGTCAGGAGGTAGTCAAATTAGCCAGCACCTCAGGGGCAAAAGTGTAGTTTAGGGCAAAAGTGTAGTTTAGGGCAAAAGTGTAGTTTTAGGACACCTCTTATTTTTTGTACCTAGTTCTGTTCCAAGATGATTTCTGCAAATGACGGTCAATTTCATAATGACTTTTATAAAGCCTCCAACAGTTTGTACAAATTAAGATTAACTCTTTTTGATCAGTATTTGGAAGAAAATGCGACTGTTGTAACTGTTTTAGCAGTTGGAGACGTGTATGAGTCACGTCATCACAGTCTGCTCATTCTTAAGTGGAATAGGGTCCTTACGTGTAACTACACGTTTACCCACCTCAGAACCGCTAATTTTGTTCTACCGGTACTTCCCCTCAAATTCAAGTTATTTTCCAAATTTCCAAGAACACTCAAATATCAGGTGGTATAAACCTTTATCATGCTGCCACCATTTCAGTCATGTTCCCTGTATCCAGTAACAGCAATGAATGATAATGTTTTTTGTGCAAAGAGGAACCAGACTATTTTTCCTTCCAGCCTCGCTTTGGTTATGTTGGTTTGAATGGGAACAAATGAAGATGGCCCCAACATGATAATGGTCTATGGGGCAGTGCGACACTACGGCAGCCGATGTAAACATCTTTTTCGTTAGCATGTGCGTTTTCATTGGTTGCCATGTGTTACCATTCAGCACTCCAGACCCAAGAACCATTCAGTTGTATGTAAATGGGTCTGGGAACAAGATCAGGAGATTTAAAAGTTCCTGGATGTCTGCATGAACCTATAGAAGGAATTAACCCTAAGCGCGAAGGCTGTGCTGACTGAGTTCTTTGAATGAGTAGGAACAAAAGCATTTGTAATTTCCAAGGACATTTTGAGAATTTGGAGTCTCAAAAATTTCTTCTGAAAAGTACATGGAAACTAGACATATTGAAATGCTGACTTAATTTTCCTGTATTGGTAACCAGGTCCGTGTGATACCAAACCAAAAAAGAAAGTTGTAAATAGCCTTAACCAGTTCGCATCGGGATTATTTTGACAAGAACGGAACGAGGCGCGGGATTATTTTTCACTCGACCTCAATGCCAGGCGGGTTGAAGCCATCACCCTCGGGGAAGCACACTCATATTTCCCCTCGCTGTGAGCGGGTCGCTGACAAATTTTTCCTGCCTAGCTCCCTGCGCGCGTGTTTATCTGTCATCTTTTCCGAATACTGCAAAATCTTTGCATGTATACACGTCATCCGGCGCGAACTGGTTAAACAACAAAATAACATGCTAAGTTGTCCAAAAAAGTTAGTCCCTTTTTTGGGGGGGTCCTATTTTGCAAATACTTTCTATCTAACTTTTTGTCTAAGCACTTATCAGACTGCATTGTTTTGTTTCACAAGCTCAATTCCAACTTCACCATCTTTCATCATTTCAGTAAACTAGCACAAATAATGCCCATATAAAAAAATGTAAGAAACCAAAACAATAATACTACAACTGAAACACTGATAACTATACAATTGAAAACAATAATATTACAATTAATTTTAATGAAGAATTTTTAACAAAAGGATAAAAACTAAGGTGTAAATCGATGCATTGATATTAAAAATTGCCTTTGGATCCCTTGCAGAAATTGAACTTAAAGGTATTGCGCCTCCCATATTTACTGGCTCCGCCCATCAAACACAGTTTGTGTTTTACAAGAGACTGATTAGGCCAAAAAAAAAATTAAGTCGGTCTCTGGTCAGCGCGCGCGTCGATTTTAATCATGCGCGTCGATCTTTTTTTTTTTCCAAAATGTTCCGCGGTAGCTCCAACAGCGCCCTCTATTTCCGCACCTCCTCAAATTTTTTTACCAAAGAGCACCAAGGAATGGGAAATTGTACCAAGGCAAATGATCGAAAGCACCAAGGCAAATTATGGAGGACACCAATGTACATGAGGACACCAAAAAAGCAAAATAGTACCCCACCTTGTCTGTACAATCCAAGCTTGAAGAAAAAAAAAAAAGCTAAAAAAAAAAAAAAAGCCGCGTGGCCGCGTCAATTCCGGAACTTTGGTCTGACCAGAGACTGAATATTTTTTTTTTTTGGCCTTATATTCATTTTTTTTATTGCACGGCATAAACTTAAATTGGTACTAAAATGTGATCCAAAAAACCCACCCCAAAAAGTTGAAATTGGAATCACATTAAATTGCACACTACAGCTTAAAACAATGTTTTTAACAAAAGTCTACAAAAAGGAAGAATGAAAACACTTCAAAAACTGTTTGACAACAAGTTAAAAGAAACGCACACTACTCTATCTAAATAAACGTGTCACGGCAACATTTCCTTAAACACAATTCATAAATACCTAAGACAGTTTACCCATTCCTATTGGTCGTCATGTGGCCAGTTTTAGACGGTTTCTTAACACTTTTCCAGTGTCACATGAAATTTGGACTCCTATGAAACTCAGTGCCTTTTACCCTTTTGTTGGTTGAATGTTCACAATCCTCACGTAGGCATGCGCAATACTACCGGTGAGTCAGTATTTCATAGTCCTAAATTCACAATACACTGGCACAGCTGCATTCTGGCCCACATCGCGCAGTACGCGTGCAACAATCTCCATATAAGGAGTTGTTTACGACTTCGCGAGAGGGACATACCACAATATAGCTAGAAGGGTGTTTAAAAAAAACATGAGGTAAAATTGTTGAACAAAATCATTGGAAATTTAAATTTTTTGACTTGTTTTGACTTTTTGACCGAAAAACTTAGATTTTTTTTTAACGAAAAAGCCTTTGGCTCAGTTAATTATCAGCATCCCAGACTCCTAACGGTCTTAAACATAGTGTTTAAACCGGCCAAGCACACATTTATTCCCTTGTTTCTCATAAAATAAACCACAATTGCAAAACTAACTACTTTCTTTTTAAATTAACACTTGGTTGAACAAAAAATATAACTGGAGCGGGGTTTGAACCTCCAGATCGCCGTTCCGGTGCTCTACCAACTGAGCTATCCAGCCCTATGTTGACAGTTCCCCATTTTGTCACTGTTTTTGTTCATGGGACACTAATCTGAAGCCACAAACCTGTGGCGTAAAATTATTTCAAGTTAAATATCTGCATTGTCACTGAAAAGATATTCTGTACACATACATAATTTGTTTCTAACAATCGACCTTGTAAAAAATCCAATTTACACCAACCTTGTTTGGGCAAATCATGCCTTAGATATATTTCAATATACATATAAATTATCTTCCTTGGAAAACATTTCTCATTAACTTAAAAATGCAAGACGTCCCTTTCTTTATCAAATGACTTTTAATTCAAACCCATATGGGTTATCATTTTCATTGAAACCTTTTCAAGATTTGAGTTAGGACATCGGACACTTTGAGATTTTGAAAAGACTCGGGATGCATTTTTTGGCAAAAAGTCTTGAACCGTTTGGGTTAATATCGAGCAACCAGTCACATGACGGTTTTCAGCTCTGACTCGCGATTGCATCCTCTGTTGCCATGGCTACCGCTCCATCCTGTCCGTTCTCCCCCTCCATCAGTTCGTCGTCGAGGGAGTCTAGGTCTTGGGTCGTGGTGGTGTTGTTGTTGCCCGCGGCTTCCAGCTGTGCCCGGAGGTTGTTGATGGCCGAGTGGACCTTGAAATGGAGCTTGTTTTCCAACATGAACTTCTTCTTGCTTCTATGTTTCGTAAACCGTAAAAGAAGCATTTGAACACCGTTACGATTTCAATGAGAAGAGCAGTAACTCAGTAATTCAAGTCAATCACAAGTCCACCACTAGTCCATTCACAGTAAATCAGAATGATCTCGACCTAAGTTCACCATTTTTTTTTGTGGCAAATAGAGTTTATTGAGAAAAAAAACTGAGTGTTACATATGAATGGTTATTATGTGTCTTCCACAGCAATTTTGAAATTTTCAAATGAGTGGCTGTGCAGAGGAGTTATGCCATTTTCATTACAAATGGCTCATTTTGCAGTCTGCACACGGAATTGGTTTTGACTTTATTAAATGTGTCAATAACTTCAAGTGAGTCAGTCACCATGACTTGGTTTTTATTTGATGTTACACTGCTTCACATCAGTACGCGATTTCAATAAATTTGTTGAACCATGGAACCGTGGTCAGAGTGTTTTTTGGCGAGAGTTCTTTGCTAGCGCTTTTCTTCAAAATGGTACAATGAATATACATGAAACTTTCACCAACTGTGTCCAAAATACCAGCCTATAACATATCTCATCTGCACTTGTTTTGATAATTGCTACATATTTGTAATACTTTGTTTAATTTGGGTCCAGATCATTCTGACGCACCCTGTACATGGATCACGACACTGTGGTTACAATATTCAAATCATAAAACAGTGTGACAAAATTCATGTCCATCTCAATAACACTCTAGCAAACAAGATTTAGTGGATAAACCTCTTGGCTGTCGCTCCAGTGCGTACAATTTAGTGTGCCTACCTGGACTGTAGGAGGAATAGCTTGGCTTCCTCCAGTCGGCTGTGTTCCAAGTACAGAAGACCCAGCTCCATTGTTGCGTAGGGGACCAGATAGTTGTTGTACAAGATCTTACCCTCTCTACCAAAAAAAAAAATAGAAAACAAAAAATACACCTCAATTTCATTTCAATATTTCAGAAGTTTGTGTATGACCACCTAGTTTGACTTACTCTGATCGAACTCAAACTTGTCAACAAGGGTTGGACTAGTATAGACAAGTATTTTGGAGCAGCCGAGCGAGCTTGGTCGCATGGCTGGTTACCAATAGCTGCTCGCATCTCCATACACAGCAGGGAACTAGCCCCCGCTGCGATGCGTCACAGCTGCGATGCGTCCTGCGATTCATTTCACAAAACATGTCGCAAGTGGGACGCGTCGTAGGTGTATTTATAGCATAACTCAGTGACTGTTACATGTATTTTTCCAGCGTACAGTAAATAGTCCTCTAGCAAAGTTTTTAAAACGTAAAACAAACTGGCGGACATATGATGCAATTTTAAAGGAAAACAAGCTCGCGGTGGACTGTATAGCTACTTTGAAATTTCAACTGCAATTTTCAAGCCACAATCATAATTCCTTCCATGCATTTTCCATTTACATCTCCACACATTGTCTCAGTATTCTCATTTATGTAATTCGTATGGCATAAAAGGAAAGGATGCTTCCTATTTTGCGATGACCACTAGAGACGTCGTAACTTGTGATGTGTATTAAGCTGTTGTCAAGGAACTTACGACGCGTTCAACACATCGCAAGTTTTGTGAAACGGATCATATGACGCATTGCAAGTTGCGACGTGCTACGCGTTGCAACTCGAATTGAAACGCATTGCAGCGCTTCGTGAAATGGGGTGCAGGACAGAAGTTTTGTGACGATGATCAACCGTCATTCGATTTCAGATATTTGCACTTATTAAATGTTATCCCACAAGCTAAACAATGTTTTACATATTATACCGCTTGTCAACAAACAGTCAATGAGAAACATGTTCTGTGTGATGACTTACTGTTCCATGACTTCTTGGAAGCACATTTCTGCCTGTGACGGTCTCTTCAGCGATTTCAGGCACAGACCCTTGAGCAGCATGGCAAGGCCGTAGTCGTCAGAGTAACACACATCGGTGCCTAAATGCCAAAAGCCATAATGAACTTACGATATTAAAATTATATATACTTAGGCAGCTGGCCACATATTAGACAAGATGCAACGAAGACAGCTGACCACTTTAGACAGGTGGCCTCAATAAAGAGGTTGCCCCGTAACAAGGAGGAACATTTAACCGGTGACAACCACAACAGAAAAGTCTTAAATTGTCACAAATTAGACTCCACTAATACTACATAATGACACACAAGCAGAGGTCCACGTCATAAGCTGCTTATGTAAGCACATTCAATATACTCCTGTTAAGTCAAACTAGGCTAACTTGAAACAACTTGTTTATCTCGAAAGTTAACTTTATGAGCGTTAGCTGTATTTGAATAGCATAACAGGTTACCAGTCAAAATGCCATGCCATGTATGTTGCTTGAGACTGGTTCCCAGCAGACTTATGCTTAGCCACACACAAACAATTTCAGCAGTACTTTTAGTTTCAAAGTATTTTATAATTAAGATTTCTGCTCGCGCCCAAGAAATTGATTGTGACCTACCTTTTGTTTTATTAAGGTCTTTGATCGTTGCTTCGATGATGTTAACAATGGGAACCAGCAGTTCTTCTTTCTGGCCGATTATGACAAATCCGTTCCATGTATAAATCAATTCCTACAGACAGAGAAAAAAAACAAACAAATTATATCTCAATTACATTAGTACATAATGCGTGCACTATGGTTCTTATCTTTAACTCTAACCCCCTAGGCCCTTTTTGCTAGGAACCATCCTCAATGCTCCAAAATTTTGCAACAGCGCCTAAAAATACTTCAAAATCGTCAGACAGTCCTGCCTCAAAATGCATTCATCGTCAGTTCTCCAAAATCCTCCTCATCCCAAAATTTTGCACTCATCATGATCAAATGAAGGATAACCAACGCCTCAATCCTTCAAAATCATCAAACAGTCCTGCCTCAAAATGCATTCATCCTCCATCCTCCAAAATCCTCCTCATCTTCAAACACCGTTCATCCTCAATCCTCCACAATCATCATGTGCTAAAACGCCTTTCATCCTCAATCCTCCAAAATCCTTGTGTTTCTCAAACACCATTCATCCTCAATCCTCAAAAATCCTCCAAAACCGCAATGAGGATTTTGGAGGATTGAGGTGGGTTAGGGTTAACCCTTACTCTCTGAGGGTAGTTTACTGCATGTCAGTTGGTTATGCCAATGCCCTCCAGCTGCAGTTTATTGGCAGATAGTTTGTCTTAACAGTGAAGGCTCCAATTGGCAGGAGTTGGAGGCCCTGGAGGGTGCCTGATACTGACCAGCTGGGGGCACTCACTTTGTTATCAGAGGACTCTCATTGTTCTCTGTGGCATGTATTGGAGTGCCTGTCCAGTTACCCTTGAAATGACATGGCAGATATTGGAGGGCCGTGCAAAAAACATATGCCATTTTCTTAAGGCACATAATGGCATGCGTTGGAGGGTCCAGTTGGGTAAGGGTTAATCCCAAGAATTATACATTCTTTGACTCACCAAGCCAGCGAGGGTGTTCTTTATCCCGTGCTCCAGAAACTTCTTGCACTTCTGAACAGCGAACTTCTCAAACGGGATGGACTTGCCCGCCACCCGCTGCTTGAAGTCTGGCACCTTGCGGAACATGGCATTCAAATTCTTCTTGGTCTGTTCAGTCTGGTCCGGGCACATGGACATGAAGCAGGCTTGCTGGTAGTAGTACGTGGCCTAATTACAGGGAACAAAAGTTTTGGATCTAATGTACAGCGTGTGTCAATAAAAACGCAGGATTAGAAACAAAAATATTAAGAATATAAACCACCCCTATTCATCATAATGTTAACCCTCTTTTCAAAGTACCTTTCCTTCTCTTCACTATGCTTTTTATCCCATCTCATTTGGACAATCCTGTCCAGAGATAGAGTACATTGAAGAAGGGTTATAAATTCCAAGCTGGTCTGATTTGTGAAATCACACATACCTAATGAAAGGTTTGAATTCAGTACAGGTGAAAGTATTTGTGGATCACAAAGAAGGACATGTGTGGCAGGATTAGGCTTACATAATCCTTTAGTCCACAATCAATGTTATTTGATATGTCAGAGACGACATTCATGATGCTTTGAAACAATGATAGTCCAGTTATTAAATTTAAGTGATACTTATCATCAGTTGTTTCAAAGAAAGTTTTGTTCTGGTTTAATTGTCTTCAATGCATACCTGCATTGTACATAACTGGTCCTTGTGTTAAGGTCATTGAATCAGACCAACCCGCTTCAGAAGGGCTTCACAAAACTTGTCATAACTTTTGAACCAAAAGTCCATATTCCACCAAACAAAAATCTTGTCAAAGATGAAATTATGGACAATCAAATCCTTATCAAATTAGGCACACCAGTAGCATAATTTTCTCAGAAAAAAAATCGCTTTGAATCCTGCGTTTTTATTGACACACGCTGTAGAACGCCATGGTCCAGTGGTTACGGCGTTTGACTCGTGTATAAAGGTGTGTGGGTTCAAACCGTACCGGGAACATGGTGTTTGTGCCCTTGGGTAAGACACTTAACTACAATTGCCTCTCTCTACCCAGGAGTATAAATGGGTACCTGTGAGGGTCGAGGACCGATTGAGCGCTGATATCGGCTGCCGCGTGGTCTCATGGCCTGATGAACGGGGCAATAATTGTAAAGCGCTTTGAGATCGTTGATACGATGGAAAGCGCTATATAAGCACAATTACTATTATGTCTGTCTGGGGTTTTTTTGATGTGAAACTTCATGCAATTCTGGATAACAAGACTAAACAAGTCGAGAAATGCTGGTCCCAGAGTGCACAACATTCTATTCAATTGAATTCAGAATGGCTGTTCAATGGAAGTCTTGTCATGCATCTGATCTACACAATGGCCGGATCTAGCCCATTCATGGACATTACGGGGTATCCTATATGATAGCACTGCCCGGCACTCTTCATCATGCTGCAATCAGTCTCAATCACAAGGGACAGTCAGTCAACAAGCCAGTCGGGGAGTCAGTCAGTCGGGAGCCGGGGAGATAGTCAGTCGGGGAGTCGGGGAGTCAGTCAGTCAGTCAGTTCCTCCCTCCCCTAGGAATCATGTTGCGACTCCCACTGAGCGTGCTCACTGACCTTTGACCAGCGGCTCTCCTTGCAGAGTTTGTCGGCATACTTGCAGGCCATGAGCCAGTCTAAGTGGAAGGCGTGGCACCACATGAGCTCCCAGTAGCAGATGTGATGGAACTGCCGCCACTGCTGCTGAGAAGCTATGCACTCTGTGAACTTGTCGATGGCCTGAATACGGGAAAGAAAAGTCGAATTTTTTTTGTGACCAATTATAATAATACATGTACTATTATTAACAATAATAACGTAGTGCTTGTATAGTGGAATCCAGCGACCAGAATGAGATGCTTTTACTGCAGTGATGTCAGTGATGTCATGTACTCTCATGTACTGAGAGTACAGTTTCGAATAGTTTTCAAATTACTTTTGCTTGTTTTCATTGCTTACATGGTTCTGCCCCTGGATATAATTCTGATTTGCTCATTTCTTACAACCCTGCTAGGTACCTCAGGTCTGCAAATTCGTCCCTGCTTGTTGTGCCTAAAACTATTAAGTCTTGGGGGGACCGTTCATTTTCTCATGCTGGACCTATGTTATGGAACAAACTTCCTCAAAATATTCGTGATAGTGCTACTTCCCATGAGTTTAAATGTGCTCTGAAGACCCACCTATTCCAAACAGCATTTCATTAATCATCCAGTTTGATTTCACTCTCATATGTACTGTTTCATATTCATGTATTTTCATTTGTGCGTACTTTTGTTTCCTGCTGTTTTTGCTGTTCATGTTTATTTGTTTGTTTCTCTGCGCCTTGAGCATCTAATCAAGATGGATTTGGCGCATTATAAATGCTCTTTATTATGTTCACAAGCATGCTACACGGGTTCTTAAAGACAAGGCAAGCGCGAATTTTGGCATTCCCATTGGTCGAAGAAGCCCAGAGTGCGGATTTGTATATACATTGTAGCTTTATGCCGATGTCTGAAAGCTCGTCACCGTTATCATCTGTGTTCTTCACGCCATGAGATGAATTTTCTACAGTAGTATTTTCTATCATCGCAGACCCATTTACAATCCTGGGTGGAGAGAGGGGCTTGCAGTAAAGTGTCTTGCCTGAGAACACCATGATCCCTGTCAGGATTCAAACCCACGTACTGCATCACACATGAGTTGGGCAACATAACCTCAGGACCACAAACTACATGTAGAATCATGGTTATCACACGAGCAAGTACATGAAAGGTTACTCCCCAAAACATGCCAGACATTCCAAACTGGAAAGTGGCAGGTATATAAGGGTGAAGTGGCTTGCCCATGGACACAGAAACAAAATAGCCAGCAGCAAGATTCGAACCTCTGACCTCTTTATCATGAGCCACAAATCCTAACTACTAGGCCAAACTCCCCTACACAGTATTGAAAGTCCTAACCTTCCAACTAGATCTTATCTTGTAAATAGATTTGTGTAACTCACTGATGATAAGTTGCCTGTAATCTCCTCAATCCGGCCATCAAAGTACTGGAATATGACCCCCGTCGGGTACTTCTTGAGACACGGGGCCAAGACCTCCTTGGAATGTTCAACATCGCCATCCGCCGTGCCTGTGAATTAATAAAACGGGAAAACTTGAAGCAATTTTTTTTCTATCAATATGAAGGGGAGAATCACAGTCAGAACAAGGGTCCAATCAGAGGGAACATGGTCTCAAACTTGTCACACAAAGCTTATTGGATATGTGAAGTGGTGTGTCAAAATAGTCCCAAAAACTTCATGACGGCACAAGTCTTTATAGAGAACTCTAGAGCCATGTGACCCAGCCTACATCCGGGTACCGGAAAGTCAGCGTCGCCATTGTAGTAGGCAAAAATTATATAGGGCCGTGCACATTTGGTAGTAGGCAAACCATCAAAGCTGTGATGGATGGCAAAAACTGTGAGAAAAACGTGGAGCCAACACCCAGTGCTGGGCCGGCACAATTATGACAACCGTACACAGCACAGGTAGTGACAATTACGCCATTTGATAAAGCATTTGCGGTTATTTTAAGCGAAAATACACCCTACTGTCTAGTTTACAACGCACGACGTGGTAACTAACTAAACGCTTGCCTACTGCAATGGTGGCAATCACAGGGAAACTGGATTGTCACGTGGTAATTTTGATGTCATACGATCGGAACCTGTTTCATGTTGGGTCATGTGATGTAGTTAGCTGCACATTACCATAAAAACCAAAGATTGTTACTAGACTGGCCTTACCGAATGTATATGTTGCCACTGTGTGGAAACAGATGAGCACCGAGGCGCACAGTGGAGCTCTGAGGCTGGCCAGCTTGCTGCCTGAATCTAACTCAGAAAGACCATGGTCCTGGGAATGAGAAAACAGTAATAATAGGATTATTGGGTTTTGAACTTTACCAAAGTAACTAAATAAGCACTGTATACTCTAGAGTTGTCTGAGGATTTGCAAGAAAAACAATTCACAACCTTGCTCGGGTGGGACTCGAACCCCTTGCTTACTGGTGCAGATGTCTTTAAGGTATAGTACATCATTTGTCATTTTGTGCATTTTTTTCATTTGAAGCAACAAAAGTGCTCAAAATCTAAAGAAGGGTGCTGAAGAACTAACCGGATGAACTTTCAGCTCTGTGAATGCTGTAAATTCTGAGAAAACAATATTCTAGGATCTCGATTTCAATTCAAAAGTTACTGAGTCATGTTTTGAATAGCGCCCGAAATCAGCGTCCAGGACACATTCTCATTCAGTTGATTGGTAACCCGTGCGACAGTCTACTACGCATGCGTATTTACCCTGTGCGTGAATCCTCGCGCGCACACTTGGTTAACAGCTAAAATAACGTGATGGTGAATTGACCAGTGAGAGTTCGGCTCTCGATCATGAATATGTATGAGGTATAGTAAAACTAATTAATTCAGTTTAGGGAGACGGGATTCTCTTTTTTACTTCCTCAGGTCAACAAGTAAAATACCCTATATATTACACACAAAAAAATGACATCATGAAATTAAATCACTGCTGACATCTCCTACATAGTTTAAAATTGTATCTAACATTCTATCATTTTGACTTTCATGATACGGTTCAAAGGCTTTTGTAAAATCCGAACGTTCAAACAGCCCCCAAGGTAGTCTAGGGGCTAGACGTTGTTATTGTCTGATATGCGATAACCCGCCGCTGCGATAACCCGCCGCCGGGATAACTGGCCGCCGGGAGAGGGCGCTATCACGACCAACCAATATCACCCACGAACTAGTCAGAACAATGTCTAGGACATTTCCTAAAATCTCCCCCCGAAAAATGGGGGAAACTAGTGCGCATGTGCGACTTATGAAGGCAATTACGGTCCATTTTCAGCCCCACACATACTACACACAACAAAAGAGCTGACCAGTGCACAAACGTCTTGCTGCATCTTTTATACAACTGGAAGAAATTTGAGAGTTTGCTTCGGAACTAATATGAATTTTTTTAATTGTGCGCTGCATATATTTCAAACAAGTGCTCACGCATTACACAACCGATACGTATTTCCCTAGATGTTGTTCTGATGGGTTCGTGGGTGATATGGTTGGTCGTGATAGTGCCCCTTCGCAGTGGCGGGTTATCTCGGCGCTGCCACCAAGGTAAACAGTTGCTCCTTTTTTTTTGTCAGAACAATTGGATATTTGTGCTTACCCTATCCCCTGAGAATCCAATGAATTCTAACAGTTTCATGACCTTCTTGGGAAGCATCGAGATCATCTGGAATGACAAGGCAAGAACAAACTCTTTAAAATATTCACTCTTGTCATATACATGTGTCAGTCAAGTTTGTATACATATCACTTCTTAAGTTACAAAATTTGCCTGTAGTGTTTTTTAACCTTAACAGTCCAGCAGCTGATTTCTCGAAACAGTGCGGAATTTACGGAATACATAGGACTTTAACGCAACAAATTTATTGCTCAGCTGCGCAATAAACTTACGATCGATTTCACAAAACTTAGCGCAGCAAAGCAACATTTTAAATAATCTAGACATCTTGGACAAGGATAATCCCGAAACAGTTCGATCCCGAAACAGTCGTTGAATCACCTCAGCCCGCCATTTTGAAAATAATTTTGTCCGACTTTCTTCAGAATCGTGCGGCAACTCTAAAAGCTCGGTCACAAGTAAACTGGCAATTCATTTACTTCAAACACAAAGCTGTGAGTATCTTGTATCAACCTTGATAAGTTGTGCAGTAACAGGCTCCACGAAGTTCACGATTTGCTGGTAAAATAGGTCATTTTCAGTCACTACTCCACAACTTACGCCACCTAAAATCATTGCGCAAGTTACCCCATAATTTGTTGCGCAATTCGCAGGCTTACGCAGTATGAAACTTTCATGAAATCGTCATAACTGAAATGTTGCGCAGCGTCAAATGTTGCACAACTTACACAATAAATTGTGGCGCAAGTGGACTTATGCCATTGCGTAAGTTTGGGAAATTGGCTGCAGAATCTTAAAATCTTGAAACTTAAAATCTTAAAATCTTAATATTATTTTCACATGTGATACTGTAGGGAAGTAGGGTTAAAGAGAGAGCCTTTAAAGCTTTGTGCAAATGAGCACACCACATGAATGCCTAGCAGTCACCTTTAACTTTACTTTTCTCTACATGGTATGTATTCATGTGTTATTGTTGGCAATTTCCAGTACAAAAAAAAATCCAAAATTTCCCATTCTGAAAGTACTTCTTGATCAATACCTTACAATGAGGACAAATTACATGTAGCTATCAATACGCACCAAATTGAAAGTTCCGTGTCCTAACCGAACGCCGCTCTCAAAATGCATCTTGGAGTATTGATCCTTCCACGTTCTGTGACGCAGCATTTGAGTGCAATTCCTGAGGAAAAAAATGTAAACAAGAAAATGCAACGTCAAATATTAATTAAACCAATTCATAGGCGAAAAAATACCCCCGTAGTTTGTCCTAGCATGAAATTCCCCTTATTTACTAAGGATGTGACTTTGTGGTTAATTTTGTAAACGTTTAACAAATATTTTAAGAGCCGTTTAAACGTTTAGCCATTCACAAAGGCTGACGCATGCTCATTATGTCTGCAGACCATGGTGTGATTGACATCATAAATCAACAATGGCAGTCATTGAAAACGTAAAATTTAACTACGTGTGCCCCGAATGTGATCAAGTATAGAAGTGCTTCGAAGCTTTTGTAAATGAAATAGGTTTGAAAACATCATTTATTATTTGTGCTATGTAGGCTTAACTCAAAGGAAGACTGCGAGAACTGAAAACATAGGTCCTTTTTTTATATTTTCGTTTTCGTTTGAATGTTTGTGAAAATTTGTAAATGGATTTAGAATTGTTTTCGTTTAAATGTTTTAAACGTATAAATGATACATCGTTATTACGATAAAAAAGTGTGACGCACTTGTATGACTGGTAGCCGCTTCGGATCTTGAGGCCCCCTTTGATGAAGCTGATGAGATTGTCGTCCTGAATAAACGTGATAAGGGCCCTCTCGAGGATGGACTCGGCGTAGCACAGCTCACCGTGAATTTCAGCTGCAAAAAAAACAATTAAATTTGTTAATAATATAATAATTAAAAAATTAGATGAGTAAAATCGAGGCCCTACTCATGGCCTTTTTAACACTGGAATTCTTCATCCAATCCATGGCTCTGCTCAAAAAAAAAGAAGGAAAAAAGTCTCCCAAAAAACCTATAGTGTATTTCACAGGTTTATTATTTTAGGCTTTGCATGGGGGAGTATACAGTGTAAGTATTGTTTCGGTTTGCGGTAACACCATGTGGTATAAACTACTGTCGCTCAGTAGATGTCAGTTCTGATAAGAACTTGTCCTGCTTATTATCAACTTTTGCTAAGTACATGTAGTTTTTAGTTGTGATAAGAACTTGTCCTGCTTATTATGAACTTTTGCTAAGTAGTTTTAGTTCTGATGAGAACAGTCCTGCTTAGTTCTAAAAGAACTTGTCTTTGGTCTCTTCACAGGTTTGCAAGGAATTTTGGCTGATTTACAAGCTTAGATTCAGTGACTAAGGCCCGTTCTAGACGCTGTGCTACTGCTTATTATCAACTTTCGCTATTACATGTAGTTTTTAGTTCTGATAAGAACAGTCCTGCTTAGTTCTAAAAGAACTTGTCTTTTGGTTCTTCACAGGTTTGCAAGGAATTTTGGCATATTCGCGTGCTTTAACTCCGTGACTAAGGCCCATTCTAGACGCTGTGCTACTGCCGTGTCAGACTCAATTAATGAGGGCGGCAATAGCTCGTCTAAAGCACGGCAGTTGCTCTAAACGCCAAACTTAACAGTCGAACCTTAATGCATCTGGAGTAACTGGTCACCATAAAGCAGTTTTAGCAGTTCCATGAACTTTCAGCGCGATCAAGATATTCACGCCAATTTCACTCCCTGTGATGTGGACGCGAGAGAGAGGGTATTGCGAGCAATGTATTGGTGCTGAGCGTCTCTTACGTATGCAAGGGCTTGCCCCGAATCATGTGGTATAGCAAAAGTGTCTTAAGTCTGGAGAATTCAAAGTTAAAACGTGCCAAGCATTATGAGCAAGTCAGTGTGCCAGATGTTATTCAAATTTAACTCGCAAAAGGGTATAGGTTATTCGCAAATGGCTTATTGAATTGAGTTCGGCACGGCAATGGCAGGGCGTTTAGAACAGTGCCGTGCCACTGCCATTCGGAACGATGATAGCATGGCAGCCCTGTCGAACCAAAGGATGGTGCCATGCCGAACTCAATTCCCCGAGCCAAAATGTTTCACGGCGTCTAGAACGGGCCGAAGGATTCTGTGCTAACAGGGACTGTAAGCACAATATGGTTATCGCAAGCATAGAATTCCATGATTCACTGAGCCACGAAATTGATCCCTGATTTTCCTCAGTAACTTAAAAAAAATATTTTAGCTGAAAAAAAAATAAACAAACAGAACTCACATTAATTGTTTTTCACAAAACCCACAAAATCGAGTGTATTTTAAATCTTGAAATAATTAAAGATTTTTGTTGAATTTTCACTTAATATCAATTTACTGTAGCAATTTACTGTTAAAGAGAATATACATCATTTGCTTTTGCTGTAATTTTCAGAAATGGATGGAATTGGGGGGTTGGAAATATAAAGCAAATATAGTTACACTGACTTTTTGGAGGTTTTGGGTTCGAAAATACTATAAAAACCTAGAAAAACGATCAATTTCCTGTAGTCTGGTTCCCTGACTCCATATAAGAAGAAACAGAGCAGTTTACATACATTGGGGATTTGTAAGGTCAGGGAACCAGTCTAGCTGGCTCGTACCCGTTCATAGGTTTGTAATCGATTGCAAACAAGTGCAATGGTCAATTGGGGCCAGTATTTGAAAAAAAAAGCCAGTTGTTTCCAACGCTGATCGGCCGATCAGCGTTGGAAATTGATACAAAAATACCACTTTTCTTGAAATAACAGTATACCAGGTGCCATAATTTTACAGGATGCTTTAGACTGTCATTTACCAACATACTATTAAGGTATTTCGCAAAAACTTTGTAGTTTTATTTTTCGATGTTTGCAAATGTTGTATATTCCCTTTAACTTCAACGAATTTGCTTGAAATAGTGATGCCATGCAAAAAAAATCTCTGTGGCAGACAAAAACACAAATTTCACAAAATGAAATAAAAAACGTGCCACCATTGCATCACTGAAAAGGTCAACCCTGTTATGCCGATAACCTACACGGCTCTAATTGCTTTCCGAAAATCAGACTCGACAGTGAGACGCAATTTTGCAGAACATCGCCCGACAAAGGGGGCATACATTATAGACACTCCCTGCTCTTCACCGTGCTGGTCAAGGTTGAATATTTCTTCAAATTGAGGGGAGATTTTTGATTTCCTGTTCAAATTGATTAACAAATAATGATTTTTTTTTTTGGTGAAGTGAATTTTGACTCACATAACCTTTTTTCAATGCAGGGCAGGGGAATACTTCATTGAAGATTTCCATGCGTGACAAATAAGAAGGAAAAAGATGCATGCATTTGACCAGCTATGAATTGAGATGAAGTTATCTATGAAATTTATATTTAAATTAACCATCTATGCAAACATACATTCCGTGCAAAGTTGTCCTTTCAGTCAAAATCAGTCAAGTGACTGTTTTTAACAGTTAAGAGCTCCCAGCCTACATACATGTAAGGCAGGATTGACTGGCTGTGACTGTTTATGTAACTTGTTACACCTATGCTTTGACTGTGGGTGATTAATAAGCCAGCTGTGCCAACCTTACCAGCTTTTGTCTGTTGACTGAATTTGACTACTCATAGTGCTTGCCTGAAATATGATCTGACTGTTGGTGACTAGCCTGTGTAAAAGGCATGGCAGGGAAGAGGATTGAGGTTTTTTTTATGTCTGTGACTTTTCATACAGCAAGTGGGTTAAACCCCAAAAGAAAGAAATATTTCTAAACCAAATGCATAACTGGTCATAATCTGAAAATCGCTGATAAAATTATCACCTTTTGGCCTTACACAGACAACCTCACATTAATTCTATAATCCTGTGACGTAATATTATCTGGAGCAGTGCCCTTCTGAGGGAAAGGGCGATTTTATGTTGAAAATTTAGCTGGGGGGGGGGGGGAGGGGAAGTTTAGATTTCACAACAAGAATCGTGAAATACTGCTTCCTGTTCATCCAAATGCTGTAATATAACATTTGAACATCTACTGGGTGAGATTTTTCACAGTAAAATGACTTCTACGATCAACCAATTGTTTTGGCAAAGTCTGTAGGCCTACAGCCAGGATTTCTGGCGCTTTTTAAGCTCTCGCAGGAACTTCTACATGTTACTTGGTGGTTGGTCGGTCTGTCTGTCGGTCGGTCTGTCTGTCTGTGTCTGTTCCTGAAAACTGACCAAAAGTATGGTGTTCCATACGTGCCATCCAAGTCCCATTTTGGGGCATCACATTTTTAAGCTGGCAAGGATCAATTTGATCGATTTCATGCAAAACTTTTAAGCAAGACTTCTTGCATGACAGCCAGAGCTTACTGTGCACTCGCACTTGTTTTTTTCTTTAGCCAAATCGGTTTCTATCCATTTTTCTTTCAATTTGTTTTTTTCTTTTTTGAATTTTTTTTTTGGGGGGGGGGGGGAATTTGCATCTCAATTAAATTTGGAAACTATAGCCATTCCATAATCTGTAAATCACTGATAAAATTATCACCTTTTGGCTTACACAGACAATCACACATTGCTTCTATAATCCTGTGACGTAACATTGTCTGGAGCAGTGCCCTTATGAGGGAAAGGGAGATTTTATGTTGAAAATTTAGCTGGGGGAGGGAGGTTTAGATTTCATAACAAGAATCATGAAATATTGCTTCCTGTTCATCCAAATGCTGTAATATAACATCTGAACATCTACTGGGTAAGATTTTTCACAATAAACTGACTACTACGATCAACCAATTGTTTTGGCAGAGTTTGTACAGCCAGGATTTCTGGCGCTTTTAAGCTCTGGCAGAAGCTTCTACATGTCACTTGGTGGTTGGTCGGTCTGTCTGTCCGTCCCTGAAAACTGACCAAAAGTATGGTGTTCCATACGTGCCATCCAAGTCCCATTTTTGGGCATCACATTTTTAAGCTCTGGCAAGGATCAATTTGATCGATTTCATGCAAGACTTTTAAGCAAGACTTTTTGCAAGACGGCCACAGCTTACTGTGCACTCGCACTTGTTTTTTCCTTTAGCCAAATCTGTTTCTAATTATTTCTATTTCAATTTGTTTTTGTTGTTTTTGTTTTTGTTTGGGGGGGGGGAGGTTTTTGCATCTCAATTAAATTAGGAAACTATAGCCATTCCAAAACATTTTCTGCGAAGCATGTTTGCCTACAATTTTAATCATGCTATTTCTTTGTTGACTGTCTGCTCATCCATTATCTTTTTATTTTGCCCACCACTGTCTCCATTCTGATTAACATTGTAAACAGCAAAATTAATTCCCATGATAAATAACTCAGTATCATGTGATCCTCAGCACCTGTGTCTGTGTGAGAAGGGTTCTGCTTTCAATTGCATCGCACATTGCCTCGTCCATCAACGCTTTGATCATTCGCGAACCAATAACAAAGTCCACCCGATATATTATCGTCATCATCCCCAAACCTAATCTAATTAGATGGATATTGTAATGGTTGGGGAATACAAGTCATTATATAGAGTGACCAATTGTGACATGATTTTTTTTTTTGATGGCGGTCTTTGGGCTACATGTCATTTTGACTGGCTAAGCTCGGAAAACATTTGCTTTAAGCAAATAGCAAAAATGGGTTACCAGGCAAAAGTCATACATTGTGTATGGCGTCTGCCTGGTTCCCGGCTATTGGTTGCTTGGAAAATACAAATTTACTGAAGAATGTGTTTGTGCTTTGCAGCTCTGTGGCATTTGCTACCAATTTTGGGTCATTTTATAAATTTTAGTGTCTACTTTCTTCTCCTGTCCCTGTTACATCTTACATCTAAGATTTTATATTTCTGACACACACTTTAATGCAGGCGTCCTCCAAGAGTGATTATGATAAACAGTTGTTTGAATTCATGATACATATACTTAAATTGCAATTTACATGGCAAAATATGGCAAAATTACAATGGCAAAGTACCAAGGTAACAGGGACAGGAAACAAAGTCACACTTTGGGCCCATACAATGACCCTTGCATAAATTAAATGATCTAACCAAGTGTTTCATTGCAACCATCAAAATCAGACATCCCACAATTGAATACCTTACAGCAAGTTCGGGCAAGGACCAATAGTCGACTAGACTCACTAGACGTTGATTTGTGACCTACATGTAAGTTACGCTTGCGCACTACTAGCAAAGTGCGAACGTCTCTAGTCAATGCTGGTCAAAATGTCATCCCAAAACTTCTGCGTCCTGGCTCCCTGCTGTACGTTATGAATGCGCGCAGCTATTGGTTACCAGCTATGCAACCATGCCCGGTAGGCTGGTTCCAAATAGTCGACTAGCGTAGTCAACCATCGTCGACTAGACAGTGATTGGGCTAACTTTAGTCGAACTATGGTTAACCATTGGTCAACAATAGTTCTGCGCGAACTTGCCCTTAGCTGATAATGTTTGTCTTCTTTTAAATGTTTACAGAACTTTGATATTTTTGTGAAAAGAATGAATATACATATTATTGTTTTCATCAGTCCCTACCTGATTCCATAGGTTTTCCCTAGAATATTCTCCAGTGGTTTTCCTCCCACCTCTAAAACTGTAATTTCTTCTGATTGTCTCCTCTCTACAGGTTTACGTTTGAGGAATCCTTGGTTTCAGTACCCGAAATATTTGTTTTAACCGAGAATGGCATCTTAGGGAGACATTCCATAAATGTGCACAAAAAAATTCAAATTTTCATGATCCCTAACCCCCATTTTACCTTATCCTACCCCCACAAACTCTGGTACATTTATGTTTTCAGGCGAGATACAAAAAAAAAGGAAGAAAGAGAAACTCATTCAAGTTCACACTGCATGCTCGGGTTTCTCGGCCATGTTATGAAGCAAACCACTCCTGGCGCCAAAACAAAAGGTTGCAAGGCAATGAATATGCGAAAACCACAAACAGTTATTTGCATTCACAGAATCTGACCAGCAGAATTCTGCACACACACAAAAATTCTAGACACTTAGAGAGCTAGAGCCCCCTTCACATTTTTACCCCCATAATTTGCTAAATTTTCTGATATCATTGCTATGTATCTGTTATCGTGCTAGTTTTTCGGCTAATGCGTGCATGTTTGTACATGAACATATTCTTTGAAAAAAAGGGGGGGGTAAAATAGGAGATACATTGAAGTGACATTGTTCAATAGATGTGTGGGCATATGAATACATGTACCGGTACATGAAGGACACGAACATGGCATGTGTGAACTAGAAATGTCATCACGCTATTCACAAGCTAATGCACATAGCGGTAATTAATGGTGTACAGCTAGTGACTAAATCAAATCAATAAGGTGAAGAACAAAAAGCTCGTGTGGTTTCCAGGACGTCCAAGTATTTTAATATGTGTGGGGCCATTTATTAACCTAGTCTGATCCTGCACGAATGGGTTTTGAGAAATTTATGCAGAAAAATCCCAAAAATATCGAATGTTTCTGATTGTGTAATATAATTGTTTGGAACATGTTGGTTTTTTGTGTCTTCTTGTTTGATTTTAACCAATCTAAATCAAGTTACATTGTGTGTATTCATTCATTTTTTTCTTTGAATTGTAATGCGAGTCAGCATGCGCATAACAAGACATTACGTATCTTCTGCCTTTCAATCTTGCATTTGTTTTCATTTATATACATGTAACTCTAATTCATACCTTAAATTTGTTGATATTTTCAAACCACCAATTCAACTAGTTGTGTTACACATGTAGAGCTCTTTTTGTTTGAGAAAATTGGAATCAAAAATATGCCAATATTTGGCATGTCCAATTTGTGAAATGGGAGAAACCTTCTTTTTTCTTCTGTGTCATGTTCAAATTACTTTCTAAATTCAATTTCTTTTAACATAATGTTGTAAAAGATTTGTCTATGACCTTTGTTTCCATTAAAAAAAAAGAAAATAAAACAGCTGTTTAAACGATAAAACAGCCATACAACACAAGGTAGCCGAAAGTGTATTTAGGGTCTTTCCATATCAGATTGTTCAATAATCGATATATACTGGAACTCCAATATCGAGACTATTCGATATATCGATTATTCCCCCATGTACAAAGATAAAAGCTAAAGACAGCGCTTGATATCAAGGAACGATTCAGTCACATCATGTTTGCACTAACTGACACTCACGCACTAGTGAAAACCGCGTAATCAACAATTTCGTTTTCACAAACTGACACCCGGGTGTGCACGCGCACATCAGACACTGACGCAAAATAGAATGATTTTGGTTTTCACGAACTGAAACTCAAGCATGTTGCGGAATTACAATTCGGAGGAAAAAACGCTTTGAAGGGTTTGACACCAATTTAATTCATCCGTAAACTTGTGGGTTTACACACAAATTTAATTAAAAACCCTTTTACTGGGAAAATTAAGATCAGCATTAGTTCGTGAAAACGAAAATGTACGGAGTGCGTACATGCAGCGCCGGGTGTTAGTTTGTGAAAACGAAAATAACCTGATTCTGTAAAATACGCGCGTGTGTCGGACACTCACACACAACTGTTAGTTCGTGGTGTTGGTGACAAAATGTGTTAAGCAGTTCTACAAATTAAACCCTAATTGTTTCAGATACTAAGTGGCCGAGACTCACCGTCCGTGTAGTTGTCGTAGTTCGGCTTGCGCACCATCTTGGACATGGACTCCATCATGTTGCCATGGCGACGGAACCGGTTGGACACCTCGATGGAGTTCTTGACCCACTTGATGGCCTCCGTGATGTCATCGGGGTCAAAGGTCATGATAGCCTGGAGGTAACTGATGGTGCCATAACCCAGGGCATGGTACATACTAGAGGAAACCCTGTACAGGGAAGAAGAAAAAAAATTGGGAAACAATCTTGATTGTTTTTAACCTCAAAAGAAAGAAAGTAATTGGTTCCGTGTACAAATGCTCTTGCGATGACCTTGGATATTGAATCTTGGGTTCTTGGATAATGCATGTTTTCCTCCTAGATACTCTATATGGAGTTCTCACTAAGAGAATAAATATGCATTTGGCTGGTTTTAACCAAGTACGTTTAAAACCGGTTTGGGGCCTGGATGTTGATACTGGCCCGAGCCAATGGTCGAAAGGCGCCATCTAAACTATTTGTCCACGGAGTTCATATATGGCAAATTCATTTAAAAACTTTTTTTTTAAATGCAATTCCAACTTGAGAAGAATTTAAGTCCAAAATAGAATTCAGACTTGGCTGTGGCTTGAAATGACACATGAGTCTATGGGAAGTGCCTGCAGCCGCTACCATAGACTTGTGTGTAATTTCAAGCCGCAGCCACGTAATTCGAACACGGCCATTTACTAATAAATACGTTTATGACGATTCATTTGGATTCATTTGGAACAAATGTAGGAGCAGCAAATTTTGATCTTTTTACGTGTAAAAAGTTTGGTATATAATTTTAAAACACTGATTTCTCAAATACATTGTAGGAGCAGGCAGGTTTCCACCAGGTGGTAAAAACATTAATTCAGTTCAATGCCAACTGTTATATGTGCTATTTATTACTTCAAATCAATGAACCTTTCAGTTAAAAAAAAATAGATGGAGATCAAGATACTGGAATTTAAAAGGTTTCTAAAAATATCTAAATTTGTCTAGAGACATGTACCCCTTAAAATATCACTGTCTTACTGTGTCTCTCTTTGTAATTATTGAAAGTAGACTAAGATCGATTTTCGAAATTGTGATTTCGTCTCCAGATGCGGCTTCAGGACATTTGAAAGACCCTGATTTGTAAGGACTCCAACTGGATATTGGGGCTAAAGATGTAGCCAGAGCTGGAGTAAAGACTGAGGTTTGGGAAAGGGCCTCAGTATCAAGTATCATCATTTTCATCACCGAAGTGGATGCAAGGCTTGTACTTACCACGGCTTGAGACGTGACCTGGCCTCATTGAAGTTGTTATTGAGGAAGAGGTCCAGCGAGATCTTGGTGTCTTCGATGGACGCGGGTAGGTCCATTCCTTCCGCTCTGTGGTAAAAGGGAAAACAAGAAAAAATGTGAACAATTTTTATTTTTAAATTAAACAAGATTTCTTTTTTGGGAGACAGGCAAAAACTCAACAACAACAACAAAAAAGAAACTAGAGTCACATATTTTGGAGTCATATTTACTTATATTTAGTCATATTTACTGTTGAAAGTTATCTCAGTTTTTGTCATGTTTGTATGGGTGGACGTCAACATGGGCATGGCCAGGATTTTTTCTAGAGGGGGGCAAAGCACATTTTGTTTCCCCAAATCCCTATTTTTTTCCAGCATTTTCTCGATTGATCATTTTTGGAGGGTGGGCAGGGATATTTGCCCCCCCCCCCCCCCTTTGCGACGCCAAAATAATTGACAATCATATATGGGGGACTATACATATATTTAAGTGTAATTATTAACGCTGATGATTTTTTTTTATGTTTCACTGTTTAACCGAAAATAATTTTCATTTTGATTTGGTGAAAGTTTACAATTTAAATTTTTGGCACTATTAATGGAAGACATTTCATGAGTTGTTTGTGTGCAAACTGCGACACTGTTCTTTCTCAGTTGTTCCAGATCATCATGGCAAAAAAACTCATTCAAATTTAGGCCGATAAAAAAAGGGAAAAAATTCATAAAACACCCACATGACTTACGATCATGTAAGAGGAAATTAGTTTTAAAAAATAATATCTGGTAAGATTGTAGTTAACAAAACTCGTAAACAGCTTGAATGCTTGTAAATAAAAAAATTAACAAAAAAAATAAATTGCAAATTCAGGGAATAAAAAAGCAATCTGAAAGAGTTTTTAATTGTCTTACAAATAAAACAAATTATTACATAAATCACCTGCAATTGCTGCACAAAAACAGTCACATACTTTCATTTCCTTTTTCCATATTATTGTGAAACTCTCACTTGTGTTTGCACTGCCAAACCGACGCGACATTTGCGTACGAATCTGAAAGTGCTTTTGGGGTCGGTAATTCCATCAATGATTAATGATGAAACAGGTTTCGGCACTTCGGATAATCAGCACCCAGGATTAATTAAGGCCACATCTGGACTGGTACCGACACAGAGAGTTGCAAAACAATGACCGACACAAAGCTAAAAATACATTTAGTAACTCACCCACAACCGGCTAAAATTGTAATTAAAAAGTAAGTAAAGTCTGTCATGAGCCACCATAGACATCAGGCTGGCGTTGTCATGTTAATCTCTGATTTCCTTGGCATGAAACAACTGAGAATATTTCTATTCTTTACTAGATGGGATGCCAGTCCATCGCAGGTTACTCCCTAGCTAATACCCGGTACCCATTTGTATTCTTGGGTGAAGGGAGGCAAGTAGGGGTAAAGTGGCTTGCCCAAGGACACAACATACGGCCATATGAAATGGGCAATACCAAAAATGATTTAAAGAGGTTGTGGAATGCTCGAAGACATTTCCGTCATTCTTCGGGTATATGTAGCCTAAGGTGTGATGAAATAAAAACGACTATTGTTTCTGTCATAAAATGAGTACAAAAGGTACTTTTGAGAGCTGTTTTTCAAGTCCTGTCATGCCTGTTTCGACCCGAACGTGCAATTTGTGTAAAAGTTGTCGTTGCGGGCAGCAAACAAAACACAGTAAATCGTGACGTAATAAACAGGACTCCCGATGCAGAGTAGCATAAACGAGTCCTGTTTATTACGTCACGATTTACTGTGTTTTGTTTGCTGCCCGCAACGACGACTTTTACACAAATTGCACGTTCGGGTCGAAACAGGACCTGAAAAATAGCTCTCAAAAGTACCCTTTGTACTCATTTCATGACAGAAACAATAGTCGTTTTTATTTCATCACACCTTAGGCTACATATACCCAAAAAATGAGGGAAATGTTTTCGAGCATTCCACAACCTCTTTAAAAAATACAACATGCACGGTTCTGCTTTTTTCTTTTTTCAAATCTTGTGAAGACGGTTCCTATTTCAAGCAAACAAGAAATGTGAGCTAAAGTTGGTATCACAAAAGAATCCCACCTACATGTAATTTGGTCGAGGTTAAATTGTGTGAATTATTTTGCAAGTTTGAGGTGCAACAATTCCTAGCTGTGACATCACAAATGTACGTTCACTTATAGTTACCCTTCGTTAAAAACCAGTGTATATTGCCGAACTCCGAATATTACCTTTACATACTTTTTGGTAATTCTATCAATTTAGCGTTCAAAGTGTGACAATTTTCCTGTCCCTGTTACCTTGGCACTTGGTAATTTGCCATTCAAATATAGAATTACTTTTAAGACAATTTTTTTATTTGTTGGGTAGGTAGTTTGCTATTCATAATCACTCTTGGAGGACGACTGCATTAAGGAATACATTAAAAATATAAAATTGTAGATGTCAGATGCAACAGGGACAGGAAAAAAAAGAACCCCAAATTTATAGAATGACCAATTCTGGCTTTTACAGCATCAAAAGTAGTGTGTTACTGGCACTAAAATACTAAATTCTGTTCCAATATTACAGTATCAATTACAAGGTAAATTCCTACAAGTGTAACTTACCCAACAAATATGGCAAAAAGTGGAGAAGAAAAATTCTACGTGAAAAATTAACATTCTCTGTAAATATAATCAAGGATCTACTTATACAGCCTCTTTTAAAAGAAACATTTTAATGTAAATCATTTTTTTTTTGTCTTGAGGATGTAATAATCGAGCCAACGACGCAGAAAAATCATGATTGCATTCAACACCTAGTATTTCATCACGCAACAGCGGTACAAAGTACCATGCAACGTACCACTCCGCATTTTCATACCTAAACATGTGTGCACTGTAGCAAGTTAATGTAACGCAGGCAATTAGTTTGACAGATGGTTTGGGAATACAATATAAGGAGGATTTCTTGTGGAAAAAAATAAACAATGGGTGTAACATTTAGCATAATTTCAGACATTTATAGATAGCATTTAAGATCCTGGACACCATCTGGAGATGAATTCATGCGTGTCACTCTCTGAAAGAAATTTAATATTTATACATTTAGATCCGAGTTTTTTAAAATTATTTTTCCCCATCCTCAACAAATTTTCAATGAATGAATTGCTTGCAAAATGTTTTCGAGGAAATACAAAGTTTATATACAGAGTTTTTGACATTTACATGGAGTGAACAAAACTAATTGATTTCCATAATATTCCGCATATTTTTTGGGGTCAGAATACTTAACTCTTTCAGTGCCAAACTCGTACATGTACGAGGTATATTTGTTAGTACAAAAGCGCCAACGTCGTACATGTACGAGGTTATGTTCGTAAATGTTCGTACTTAAAATTGCCAAACCTCGTACATGTACGAGGTAGAGTAAATATGTTATCATAAGGGGGGGCTCTCGCTCTTTCTAATGGTACCATTTTCATGCATGTACGACCTGTATTTATTTTTTCATTCGAGTTCTTGCGAGAGGGCGCAGCACTAAATCTCGTATTTTCTGCAAAAAGTGCGGAATTCCCCTGTGTTCAGGCCAGTGTTTCAGGGTGTATCACTATGTTTGTGACTACTTTTGACTTTCCAATATATCAAGGATATACCAGAGAGCAACAACAACAAATTTAGTTAGTAAAACTTATTTACTTTTTTTTTTACAGAATTTCGAACAATTAACAAAAACGTTCGAAGTTGGGCACTTTAGAGGTAAACTTTTCAAATTTTGCGGGCACTGAAAGAGTTAAAAACTGAAATCAGGTCTAAAGGCATAACATTAGAATTCTCATTAATACAAATAACAACGTTTTAATAGGAATTTATTGCATAAATATTAATACTACCGACCATGCATACCACTTTGTGTTAATTGTTGACATGTAAATTTATGTATAAATACATGTACCTGTACAACTGTTTGCCTATTGTATTAATATTATTTACCTACCAGTAGAAAAACGTATTTGCTACATAATTTCTTATTCGCTTTTTACACCTTTTTAAAAGTTAATCTATAACTGCAAACATACACATATCTACTGTACGCATGTTCATATAATTTGTACATTGTGCTACATGCAGTGTCACCATACACACATCCTTTTCACAACTTTCCCAATTTTGAGTCCATAAATTACAGTTTATTTATGTTAATTTCACAGAAAAAACACATTTGGCACTTAATTCCTCTCGAAATGAGAAATCAAAAGTGAACGTACATAAGAGATGCCTCAGTGCATCCTGGGATTGCTCCTGCCTCCTCACCGGATGCGGTTGCCGTCGACGACAAGGAACAGGTGGGCACGTCTTCAGATGCTATCATGACGAGGACGAACGATGCAAAATGTGCCTCAACGGATACGGTGGCGAAACAAAGAGTTCTACGTGTACATGTATATCGCTAGTACACACGTACCGGTAACAATAATAATATTGAAGATGTTCTATGTCCCAACATGTCCACACTATCAAAATGTCACTGACAGAGCCACCGACTATAAGTAAGCGTTATTTGATTCAGTGCAGCACACGCATACATGTACACACACACACAGCGACTGCCTATTCTGCCATACACTGCTTGTGTCTATGGAAGACTAGTGCACTCAGGCACGGAAGATCTATACAGACGTCATTTATTATGCCCCCATGTCTGCCGTTGTGGGCGGGGCTTACAGAAGAATATATCAATATTAATCAAGTTGGAAAAACTCTGTAGTGTGGACTGCACATAAGGCAGTTAATTTTAAGCTTTCAATTAATATTATATGTGTGGATATTTTAATGGCTTGTATAATTTTCTGAAATGTAATGCATCACAGATGTACAATAAAAAGGTAAGACCAGTAAAATGCAGTTCTTCATAAATTGAACCTCAACCATTTTTCGGGGGGAAATGTTTTTTATGTGATGTAATTCAAATGATTATTGTTCACTAAAGTATTGCTAGTAAGTACAGATGCATAGAAGTTTTATAAGTTGGTCTTTTCGTGCATAAATTAGCATGATTCTAATAACGAAATGTCACACATGTGACCTGTTCTGTCAAAATCAGACTCTTCTGGGCATATGGTCAAAAATGAGATTTTTGCATATTGTTAAAATATGTTCTTTCTCCTTTTAATAGGTGGTTCAGTTTTTGAAACCAGTCATTCCTGGGCAGAGTTATGCTATTTTGAAGTTTATTGTGTTGAAAAGTAGAAAACTGAAAAAATGGCCACGAACGTCACAAAACAGTAATATCTTTAACTGATACGCCTTAACAAATCATCAAAAATACTATATTTAGAGATCAAATTAGGGTTTCAAACATTTAAGGTATATTTTAGACATGTTCAGGATTACAAATATGCAAACATTTGAAAATGGAAAAAAATCGCCCTCACAGCGTTTTTGGGCCTTATCTTCATTTCAACCTCTGCCCAGAAGCGTCTGCTTTTGACAGAACAGGTCACACATGTGACCGATCAAAACCCACCACTAGGCTAATTCGCTGGAGGTCTTTTCATGCATCTGGTCAACACAATGGTGCTAGATTTATCCAATTCATTGGTGTTATGGGTGATCCTATACAATAGCACTGCCCGGCTCACAAGTGACAGTCTGTGAGTCAGTCAGTGAGATAGATGAAGCATTACAATTTATTTACTTCTTTACTTAAACTGTCATTAATTTCGAAAACCTTCAAACGTTCTTGTGTTCTCAAATAAACAAACGTCACAAAATCCTTAACCAAGTTTCAAATGAAAGTGTCTAAATTAGATGAAAATCCCTTTAAAACAAAATACTAGCCTTTGGAACATTTCAAAATTTATGTCCACGAAAAACGACATCTGGTCCATGAACCACTGGCATACTCACTCAGTCATAACCAATTTGCATATAACATAAGTGGGTGTGGCCAGGTTAACACATCATACTTCATGAATATTCATGTTATAGGGAGAAGTCATTGCATTCAAATCAATAACAACAGCACTTAGGTACATCTCTGAGCAGAGTGAAAGCCATTTTTAAAACCATGGCAGTGTCTTCAGCTTTGGCTATATCTCTGGCCCAAAACCCCTTTGCATGTCTTTTTTTGTTCAAAACAAAGGCTGATAACTATAAAGCTTTCCTTTCATTTTATGTGTTAATACAGCAAAAAATTAACAACTATTGAGCCAACAAAAAAATATAAAAAAGCCAGGGAACTGAAGTCAGGAATTAAAGCCAAAGCCGAAGCCACAATCATGGCCATGGTTTGGAAAATGGCCTAAGTGACAATTACCAAATGCAAGTCATCGGGTCACAATGGAACACATTCAAATGAGAAATTAATACTGGTATGCATTATCCTTGCTCTGCAAAACCACAAACCAGCTACAAATTTCCTAACTTTATAGTTATCTCAGATATTTAGTGCTGTGGATGAAAGCTCTCATGAATAGACTGTGCATGTAAGTACATGTACCTTTTAGTATTATTTGGTTCTCTCATTATGTTTGAAATAAGTACAATAACTGGCAACTACAAATTATGGCAATCGTGTAGTGTAGGGCCCCATTCCCTATAAGAGAACAAAATTTGCGGAAAGATTCCCATATCTGACGAATCACTAATTTTTCCCTTCAGTGACCTATCAGCCTTCAGAAAGTGATAATATGTCCTAAAAAGTCAAATTTAGCAGGGAAAATATTGAAGTCTTTGCTGAAAAACACTTAGAAATTTTCAGACCAGTCTCATAGGGTTTGTGCACAGGGTGACAAGTGATGGCCAGATATGGGAATCTTTCCAAATTCGCTTTGAATTTATTTGTCTTACCCAACTAGTTGGCTACATTAAGAACGTGCAGGTATGTCATAGATAGAGGGCAGGGTTTTGAATTTTTGAGGGAAATTTGGGGGTAAAATGACGATGACGACGACAATTTGCAACACGAAAATAAAGACAGCGATCAACGCGATGTACCATGAATGCGCTAATGCATTGAATTACATGGCACCAACCGTAAACCACGTACGAAAATCGCAGTTTCTACCCCAAGAAACTGTTCAAAATTACAAAAAAATGCGTCATTAGAATAAAAACCAGTCTGCTTTACGCTGAAAACGTCATTTTGGAATGATAAAAAAAAAAACTCTTTACTCTAATTTCATAAAAACTAACAAAACCTACACGACACGATGGCCCAAATTACTCTGAATATAAATAGTACATGTACCGGTATGGATGTAATTTCAGTAGAACATTACCGTAAATATTGGAATAGGCTCAGTGGAAAAAGCTGGGCGGTTTCGTGGTGTTTTGTTACATTTGCCTGGGTGGATGCTTTTCAATATAATTAATTTAATGGACCCAGAAATATATTTCGGATAAAACATGTTTTGCTCATATACCCATGACTAATTGAACAGTATGAAAATAATGCAATACTTTCGGACTTCGTATTTTGAACACAATTTTTCCTTGCCTGGCAGCCATTTTAGAGGGACGTTTTATAATTTTTAGTTAAACCCTCCTGCTGTCTGAACAGTCACAGACAGTCAAAAATTAATCCTCCTCCCCTGTCATGCCTTTTACACAAGCTAGTCACCAACAGTCAGATCATATTATAGGCAAGCACTTTTACTATTCAAATTCAGTCAACAGACAAAAGCAGGCAACCGGGAGGCACAACTAGCTTATCAATCACCTACAGTCAAAGCATAGCTGTATCAAGTTACATAAACAGTCACAGCCAGTCAATCCTGCTTTATGTAGGCTGGGAGCACTTAACTGTTAAAAGCAGTCACTTGATTGCTTTCGACTTCATGAAAGGACACCTTTCAAAAAATCTGGATTTAAATCCTCTCACTAACCCCAGAAAAGGGGGAAAAAGAAACATTCAAGGACAGTGTGAATATGATAGTCTTGTGTTTTGACTTTATTACAGCTTTGAAGTCCATTAGGAATTAAGGGTGATGACTTTAAATTATACTCACGTGACGGGAAGCCTCTCACAGGCATCATAGAACTGTTAGGAGAAAACAAAGTATTTATTTACTTCACTAACTTTTAAGGATATTATTACCTCATACAAAGTTGGTGACAGAACCTTAACAGTCACGCAATCAAACGAATTAGATTAAACTGCGTCTTGACCTCGAGATTCTGACATTTCAGCTGGCGCCTTCTAGATCTGGGCTTCGGTTACCTGTTGTCCTAGACATCTATAAATAAAACCTAGACACGACATCTATTATGCATTTACGTATAGGAAATAATGGGCAGGGTAGTTTGGGGCAGTACACGGAGTAACAGGCAGGCCAGTTTGGGGCAGTACAGGGAGTAACAGGCAGGGCAGTTTGGGGCGGTACAGGGAATAACATGCAGGGCAGTTTGGGGCAGTACGGGAAGTAACAGGCAGGGCAGTTTGGGGCAATTCAGGGAGTAACATGCAGGGCAGTTTTGGGCAGTACATGTACATGGAGTAACAGGCAGGGTAGTTTTGGGCAGTACAAGGAGTAGCAGGCAGGGTAGTTTGGGCAGTACAGGGAGTAACAGACAGGGCGGTTTGGGGCTGTACAGCAAGTAACAGACAGGGCAGTTTGGGGCAATACAGGAAGTAACAGGCAGGGCATTTTAGGACAGTACAGGGACTAATGGGTTCAATAATTCTGTTTATAAATAATTGAAAAATATCAACTGCAAAAGAACAATTGGAAAATATGTTGCAACTTGACGCCGCTTCTGCGATTGTGTAGAAAGTCTATGGAGAGTCAAGAACATTTTTTAAGTATTTCCTAACAAAATTGGAAATGTTTCTCAGTCCCAGATTCATGTCTTATCATCATTTTTGCAATGAATGACCTTCATTGATATGATATACGAAGAAAAAGTGGCGTCAGGTCGCAACATTTTTCTGAACAATTAATTAACAAAATTTTTAATAACCTGATCTTCGTCATCACTTCCGTCACACTCGGCCATTACGTAGAAGTATCAAAAATATATTTTTTTTAAATGCAAGAGGTAGAAAAATTTGGACGGATATGTCATCAAAGTTCGGTTAACTGCATTGAGCTGCATCCATCACTGCATGTGGGAAAGTGCACTACTACATCCTGTAAACCATCTGAAAATAAGAAGAAAAATTAAAATTTCATTTTTTTTTTTTTTCTAAACTTAATCTAAACAAACTCAGACAACCATTACGGAATGGATTGAAACTGCTATTTTGCATGATGGAATTTCAATTAGCCATAGCAACTGAGGTTTTTCAAAACGTATTATGCGCCATCTTGTTCACGGGGCAGAAAGAACACGCGTTGCTAGACGCGGGCGTATTTTGGAATGACCGTATGACGACTTGGACTGTATGACGACTTGGGCCTAATCCCGCCTATTCTGGTATTACTTTTAACATCATTCACTCTGCATGGTAACGCTACAGCAGTATAAATGGCGATCGTGTATCTACGGGCCTGGGTTCCTATAAGGAAACAAAAAACACTTTAAAAAAAGTTTGACCAACCAAACTAGTTGGCGACATTAAAAACATGCAGACCTATGTCCTACTCCTAGTTAAACTTTTGAATTTTGAGGGAAACTTTGGGGTAAAACGACGATGACAACGACAAAACGCAACACGAAAATAAAGATGGCGATCACTGCACAATGTACCATGAACGTGCAAGGCACGCTGAATCGTACGGCACCAACCGTAAACCGCATAGGTAAACCGTAATATCTTATTAGAAGAAACTGTTCAAGAATTACAAAAAAGGTGTCATTAATTGAAAGAAGTCTACTCTTGGTTTAAAAGGTCATTTTCGACTAATAAAAAACACACTTGACTCTAATTTCATCTAAACTAAATAGGGGCCCTACACTACACGATCGCCGTATACAAACATGCATGACAACATTAACAAGTCAATTTCGTCTGACATGTCTGATCATCATGTCAACAATGCCAAAGTCACCGTCTAGGCTGCCTGAAAAGCTCATCAATTCTCACATGAACTGTCATTTTTGCCTGTCGTAATTTTACTTCGAGTGGTTTAAGAAAAGAATTGGAGTATTTAGTTTCTTTAATTTACCTTTCTAACTTTTAACAAACTACCGGCATTTTGCCCCAGACGTCTAAACATGTTGTGATGATGTGGCTCTTGCGTGCACTGCTTTATTCGAATAGCGCCCTCAATTGACGTCCATCGGGAAGTCTTGCCAAAAAAATAAGTCAAAGAAAATTGTCCGTCATCTAAACTTCCTATTTCCAATTAAAGTAAAAACTTCCAAAACATATTGATACTACGATGAGTGGACATTTTTATTAGATATTTTAGGGTTTTTTTTTTAAATTTTTTGGTTAAAAAAAGGATTTTTATATGAGAGGCTTTTATATATGGGGGTAACATTTACTTTTGAAAACAATTTCATGCAGAAAGAGAAAGTCTGGCGCTCTCTGAGTAAGTGAGGGGTTTTTCATAAGTTGAGTCCAGTTACCAGTACAATATGTTTTACGCACAAAAACACATGCAAAAACGAACGTGCGTGATCGGAAACGGACTGGAAAAACTTGCACTTAGCAGTTTTCCTACTGTCTTTTTCCTTCACAGAAATAATATTACTGCATCATGAATGACGAGGCAGAGACGTACAAACTTTGGCGAATCAGAAAAACCTTGATGCAGGTATTTTCTTTGAGCCCTTTTTTGTATGTATTTTGTTGCGATGTTGATGATGCTGATGGTGCAATGCCAGCCAATGGGAGACTTTTGAGACGTTGGTGGCAGCAAACACACTTGTCCTTTTCAGCATTGTTTACATCTTATATTGAGCATGAGCGCTTTAGTTTAAATGTGACGTAAACAATGGAAAAGGACCGGTGTGCTTGCTGCTCAAATTTCTCCCATTGTCATTTCATTATTTCGCGCCATGCATTGCCAGCCATGTGCACATTAAATCCACATTGCTCGTATATCCATTACCTTTTAACAATAACAGTAAAGTTTAATGCATGTTTCAGTATAGTCCTAGTAATGCGCCTATCAATATTCAATTGTTGGACAAAATGTTGCAACGTGACGCCACTTCCGTGATTGTGTACAAAGTCTTTGATAGGTGCATAACTTGGACCCTACAAATCGCCTTTTTTAACATTGGGACATGAATGGTCTGGCTTGTCTGGCGTAGTCAACGTGCCTATGTTGGGCAAGATTTGGATGAAAAGTAAAATTTACTGTATATTGGCAAGGGCTCCACCATGCATGCTTCGCATGGATGCCATTTTCAAAATGGCGTCCATACGGTATTTGCGACTTAGCCCTCGCCGGTTAACAGTAAATGTCGCTTTTCACACCTGAGTGAAGCCAAGTAATTTCCATATGAAGCCTATAGTAAGCAAATGGTAAGACTAGACTGGTACACGTTCAACTTTTTGGAAAGATTGACCATTCAGTGGTGTGGTGGCATAACTAATAAGAGTGTATAGAACAGAGAGTAGGTACCAGATGTTCTGAAGGCTGGTTGTTTCATGCGGCAGTCTTTTTTTGGAAAGAATATTGCATCCTTATGCCACTTTTTTGTCATCTAAAGGCACCTATTATCTCAGTGAAGGTCAGTCGTTGCAAAATGTTGAAGAGACTTGAATCTGGAACTGAGAAACATTTCCTATTTTGTTAGAAAATCCACTCAACTCTCCATAAACTTTGTGCACAGCCAGAGAAGTTAGGACTAGATACTACATTCTTTCCCTTGTACCTTGTACCTTGTACCCTGTACCTTGTACCTTGTACCTTGTAGTTCGAACTCCCGAACGGTCCACCAGGGACTAAACTGGAAGTTGACGAGAGTGGACTATTAAATGTCTAGCAGGGGCTGTGATGTTTTTGTTGGTTTTGGATGGAGCTTTTGAAGGTTACAGAGGAAGTTGTGTTGACAGTTTGATGTGGTAGGGCATTCCAAATTAAAATGGTTTCAGGAAAAAAGACTGAATAAAGGGGGTAGATGTATGATGATAAACTTCAAACTGCTTGTTGTGGGTTCTCCTGGATCTGATAGTTTTCTGTCTGAGGTATAAGTTGGCGTCAATGTCGATGTCCTGGTTAAGAATTCTGTGGAGTGTGACTAGTTGTTGCGTCTGTCGCCTGGTTTCGATGGGATCCCAATTGAGGTCAGTGAGCATCTTGGTCACACTGGATTTGGCTCTATAGTCGCCACACACAAACCTAGCTGCTCTTCGTTGGACTTTTTGAAGAATGTCCCTGTTTTTCTTGGTTCCTGGGTTCCAAGCGGCAGAGGCATACTCCAAATGTGGTTGGACGATGGTTTGGTAAAGGTTTTCTTTAACAGTCTTTGAGCACTGGTAAAAATTTCTTTGCACAAAATTTAGCATCTTGGTAGCTTTGTTTGCCGCATATTGAGATTGTTAGTCCCATTTCAAGTTATATTGAGATTGTTTGTCACATTTCAAGTTATTCTTGTATTGCATGTTTTCAATACCTTAAATTTTGGGACTCTCATACACAGTATTGAGAGTCCCAAATTTTCGAAATAAAACTTGTCCTGTTCCCATTCATCTAAACACTGAATCTCTGTGACTTTTACAGAGATTATGCAGAATATTTTTTACAGTTTAAACATTAGATTTCAAATAAATGTATTTATTGGATTTCAAAATATATTTATTTACATCTGAAGTCATCATTCGGATTTGATGATTAGACTGAAATGAAAGTTGTTGGTTTATTGTTTTTTGTTTGCAGCTGTGTCACGATCGAGGCTACCTAGTAACGCAGGATGAGTTGGATCAAACACTGGACCAGTTTAAGGAACAATTTGGAGATAAACCAAGGTACTAATGTGAGAAGAAGTTGAATTCTCATGAGATTTATACAAATTTGTTGGTGTCGTTGCACTGTCCTTAACTTAGGCCAGTTCATTCAGTGCTTTCATTTGGCAATTGCGAACGTCGTAAGGAAACTTCATTTGTTGATGTCATGAAAAGTGCTTTGCCTTTTCTTTTGTATGAAGTGACCTTTTGTGGGCCTTTTATTTTGAACCCGGTCATCATTTCAATCAAATGTTATTAATTTATGTTGGTAATACATTAGTCTGAAAATTTGGGATTCTATTGATTAATTTGGAGACAGCCATTTTCTGAGTCGGCACTGGGCTTGCGCAAGTCGCGCTCGGGTAGTACGCACGCACTATAGGCTCCTTCGACCAATAGATTTACCAAAATGTGTGCACGCCTTGTCTTTAAGAACACGTTCGGCGTGTAGGCGAACGTCCACTGCGAAAACGGCTTCTCTTTTTGTTTGCCAAATTAGTCTTTATATCGGCCAGAAAATAAAAGGTTTAGTGTTCCTCCTAAGAATGTTTGCAAAAATTATATTTGAAACTGCGTCACCATTTAAAGAAAGGCAATATTGGGTTTAAAGGTATGACAACACACATGGTTTTAGCCGAGATGTGTCTTGGCGTATGTTCAACACCCTGCCCAGGGTATTTTGAACACCGCTTTTTTTCTTATGTTGTTTGAGAAAATTAAATCTCTTTTTTTTAATACTGATACCCACTTTACCAGTGAAATTTAAAGGGAATGTACATCATTGGCTTTTGCTGTAATTTTTAGAAATGAACTATTTGAGGGGTTAGTATAATAGATCAAATATTGTTACCCTGACGTGTTTGAAGTTTTGTGTTCAAAAATGCTTGAAAAACCAAGAAAAAACAAAAATGTTCAAGTAGTCTGGTTCCCTGACTCCACTCATGATAAAATGGATCATTATAGATGCCGGAAAATTGTAAGGTATTAGGGAACCAGTTTAGCTGGCCTGCACCCGTTCATGAACATGTAACCAAAAGCAAACAAAATTTGGACTGAAAAAAAATGGTAAATTTGGAGCAGTAGTTGAAAAATAGTTAGGTTTTCCAACGGTGGGCGGTCGACCACCATTGGAAATTACCCAAAAATGCCATTTTCTTGAAAATGACTTCACACCAGGTGCCATAATTTTACAGGATGCTTAAGACTGTCATTTACCAACATCCTAGTAAGGTATTTCGTAAAAACTTGTAGTTTTATTTTTTGATGTTTGCAAATGTTGTATATTCCCTTTAAAAGCATATTATGTGAACTAACTTGCATCAAACTTGGAGTTGCTCTTTAAAAAACATTCTTTAAATTTTGAGTTTGCGTTTATATTTACAGCGAGGACAGACCGGGAAGGAAGGACCTGACGATCCTCGTGGCTCACAACGATGATCCAACAGACCAGCTCTTTGTCTTCTACCCCGAGGAGCCCAAAGTGGGCATCAAGACCATTAAGGCGTACGTTTAATGCCATCAGAGGCTTTGCATGAAGGAGAAGTAGAATTTGGGAGAAGTCTGCAATTGCACCAAATGAGCGTGTGACCTGGTGGTTAGGGTTTATGACTCGTGAAAAGATGGTCAGGGGTTCGAATCCAGCTGCTGGACACATGGTGTGTCCATGGGCAAGCCATTTAACCCCCACTTGCATAGTTATCTGTTTACCCATGGTACCAGCATTAACCGGGGAGTAACTTGTCATGGACTCTCATCCCATTCAGGGGAGAATGGAAATGTTTTCAGTCAATTAATTCAAAGAAACCAGAGATGAACATCAGCCTGATGAGCATTATTTGCTCTGAACATTGTTGCTGTTTATCTCCGCAGATACTGCCAGAGGATGCAAGAGGAGAACATCAGTCGGGCCATCATCATCGTCCAAATGGGAATGACGCCCTCAGCCAAACAGTCTCTGAGCGACATGGCCCAGTGCAAGTACGTCCTGGAGCAGTTCCTAGAAGCTGAACTGCTGATCAACATCACCGAACATGAGGTACGTGAATAAGTGATCTAGATACCTTTGTAGCAGCGTTGTAGTTACTTCTAGAATTAGGAGGCACCTCTCGTTAGCCTTCTAGCATTGTCATTTTGGTAATCCTTATCTTTAGGACACCTCTATTTTTTACGAGTTCTGTTCAAAACTGACTTTTGCAGATGACTGTCCAGTACCAAAGTGACTTTTGCAGGCTAAAGCAGTCTTTTTTTTCTTCATAAAAACTCATGTTAGCTGCAAACTCATTTGTATTGCAGTCAGACGTGCATGTTGTAGTTCTCACAACACGAGTAAAAGCCCTACATAATGAAAGCCTGATGCTGATTGGCTGCTAAAAAAAATAAATAAGATGTTTAAAAATTTTTATCAGCCAATCAGCATCGAGCTTTCATTGCATCGAGCTTTCAAGTTTGCCATCTTGGTTTTTGAGTCTGTTTTCTGGTTGTCATCGTCGTCTTTTACCCCTTAATTTTCCTCATAAATCAAAGCCCTGCCCTCTTTCCACAAAATTAAACCTGCTGAAATTCAAGAAGGTGTCACTGCCAATTGTTCAGATGTGTCAAGAAATATCAGAATGTCAATTTTGAGTGTCATTTAGTCAACTGTTTCGGTGAGTCTTTCCCTTCCTATATAGGAACGGGGTCCTAAAAGTAAGGATTACCGTCATTTTTCGGGTGGTCAATACGCTATGACAAGTGGAAATGCACTTTGATTGACGAAATACCTCTGTCTGGAATTCCACTTTCTGAAACACAAATCCATGTAAAAAGTTGCCCTGGTTGATCCGTAACCCTTGAAAAGTCCAGAACCATTGGTGTTTGGACAATCGGACAGAATTTTGTTGGAAAAATCTGAGCTTTTACTCACCACCGTCAGTCTTCCGACATCGTGAACGTTGAGCACATACTTGATGCAAACCTAGCTGCACGGAGCGCGCGGAGTAATTTAGTCTGGTTTCCCGACCAAAACTTAAATCCCATTCCTTTAACGTACACACGCGAAGGGCATCACGCCTGTGTTTCTATTTTTTTCCCGCATATGATGCTGCCATACTTATGTGAAAGTATAAAGTTATAAGTATGGCCGCATCATATGCAGGAAAAAAAATAGAAACACGGGCGAGATGCCCTTCATGTGTGTACGTTAAAGGAATGAGATTTAAGTTTTGGTCGGGAAACCAGACTAAATTACTCCGTGCAGCTAGTGTGCATCAAGTGTGTCGGAAAACTGACAGTGGTGAGTAAAAGCTCAGATTTTTCCACAAAATTCTGTCCGATGGTCCAAACGTCAGTGGTTCTGGACTTTTCAAGGGCTATGGATTAACCTTGGCAACTTTTTACATGGATTTGTGGTTCAGAAAGTGGAATTCCAGACAAAGGTATTTCCTCTATCAAAGTGCATTTCCATTTGTCATAGCGCATTGACCACCCGAAAAATGACCATGCTAGAAGGCTAACGAGAGGTGCCTTCTAATCCTAGAAGCATGTTGTAGTGAAGTCTGTTTTTGAGTTAGCCTTTGTTCAAGACTGGATTTAAATTTTGTGCCCCTATTATTGTCAGCGTTTTCATGAAGGGATGAATTGGGTCACAGGGTGTTAAATACTGTTGAACAGTGGTTTTGAGAAAAACGGGTTTTAAGTTGGTCACTTTTTAAAATAAAGATTTCGCTTATTTTTGGAGCACATGCCGACTAATTTTTGATTCAGATAGTAAGCTGAGATCTTAAACTTCAAAGATGTACCAATTATAGTATCATGGACCAATTAATTGCGGAGTAATTAATCTCCATTGAGACTTGTCTGTTCGTGAAAACTCAAAATCCCGCACGCCTGTTGTTTTGGCAAATTGCCAATACCCATTGCTCATACTCTTTGCACGAATTCCTCTCTGCATGAAAACTTAAAATCCCACACACGTGTTGTTTTGCCCTTCGTGCGTGCTCAATTTGTCTCTTCGTGAAAACTTACATTCCACACGCAGGTTGTTTTTGCCCCATAGAACAACGTCATAGAGTTTGAATTTGTCTCTTCGTGAAAATTCAAAATACGATTCAGGTGAAATATTCCCTACATTGATTGTCATGATTTCGTTGATTTAAACTGATTTTGACCTGAAAAAAAATTCGCCAAAACGTTTTTTGCTGTCCCTTTTACCCATTTTTAGTGCTATCCAGGCCTATGTCGAGAGTCTCCCAATTTGTTTTTTAGCTGTGGGTGGCAGCTCAACCAATCATCATGTCTCTCCGTTAGTTAGTAACAAATCTTGACATTGTCTAATGCTCCTACGTAATTTGACCAATTTCAACCAAACTTTCTCAAAAGTATCAGTAGCCCAGCCCCAACATGTCACATGACCAAACTGGGGTCAAAGGTCATCATGGGGTCACCAGGGTCAAAAAGCTGATTATTTTTACTCGTAGCACTACTCCTTCCAGAAATTACATAGCACATTCACGTGACTCATGCATGAACACGAATTCGTTGGCCTGCAGCTTCAGAGATTTGATCGAACTTGTTTGGGGTTTTTTTTGGATAAATTATTTGCTCAATTTTATGCTGAATTATTTTTTGGTGCAATAAAATGTTAATGCTGTAAGTTAATCGTTGTAATTTGGTCCAAACCCCCCCCCCCCTCCCTCCGCAGTTTGTTCCAGAACATGTTGTCATGACAGCCGAGGACAAAGCAGAGCTACTAGCAAGATAGTATCCTTTGAAGAGTTAGGAGCTAACGTTTGTTGCTTGCGGAAATGGTGTATTGTGCTAGTTTATTGGAAAATTTCATCCCAATCTGAGTTGGAAACCAGACGTCTGTTATGTGTAGATGACGTGACATGGTAAAAAAAAAAGTAAAGTCTGTCACGAGCCAATGTGGCCCATCTGGCCGGTGTTTATTTCCAGTTTCAGTAGCATGGAACGACTGAGAATGTTGCTACTCCCCCTGGATAGGATGCCAGTCCATCGCAGGTTACTCCCCAGCTAATGCCGGTACCCATTTACACTCCTGGGTGGAGAGAGGCAAGTGGGGTGACATGGCTTGCCCAAGGAAACAACATATGACCAACAGCTGGATTTGAACCCCTGACCCTCTGATTATAAGTCACAAACCCTAACCACTAGGCCACACTCCCCCCCCCCTTCCATTTGACTAGGGACAATGCAGTAATACCAAATAAATCACTCAGCGAACCTGATGTTAGCAGAGGCATTAACGAAATGTACACAACATTCAACCTTAACCTTTGACCTCAGCAAACTGAAAGAGCACCAGTTACCCAGAATTCAACAGGGGGACCCCGTAGCCAGATATTTTGGACTCAAACGTGGACAGGTTAGTGCAGTCAGAAGGAATTGGATTGTCTATCAATGTTCATAGTTGGTCGTCTCAAAGGAGCCAGCCTATATAGTGGTGTTCCCTAACATGGCGCACTTCAACATTTTCCCCCCTCTGTTACAACTGATAATGTAGTGACCAACTGATAATGTATCACCAACCGATAAGGTCACACATATTGACCGATACTGTATCACCAACCGATAATGTAACAGAAATTGACCGATAGTGTAGTAAATGTTACTACACTATAGGTCAATATTTGTTACATTATCGGTTAAGACCGATAATGTAACAACAATCGACTGATAGTGTAGTACATTTTTACTACACTATCAGTCAATTTCTATTACATTATCGGTTAGTGATACAGTATCGGTCAATTTGTGTGACATTATCGGTTGGTGATACATTATCAGTTGGTTACTACATTATCAGTTGTAACACCCTCCCCCCACTTTCTTCATTCAGAGTTGCTCAACCTCTTTGTTGAAAAACTTCAAATTCATTCAGTTAAATACTGTAACTTTTACCGTAACCCTACCCTCCCCAACTCCATCAAAATCCATCCTCCCCATTTTGATGATTTGGGGGGACTTTGTCCTGCTGGCCTGGTTTGACTAAATATTGATGGAGTATGATGGACTTGGACCTGGAGGCCTAAAGCAAAGCATGCATTGGAAGCAGTGTGATTGATGGATGTTGGCAGACTTGGTCCAGTACTTAGTAAAAGACAGTAGGAAGTTAGGGTTAATAATGCTTGCTGTTGAACCTTTGTGAACAATTTCAGTGTCATGAAATTTAGTCCGAAATTCAAAAACTGTGGTGTCCGGAAATTGGGTACAAAATCAGCTGAATGTTCCCTAACGTGCCACACTTGAACAAATCTTGGAAAATCCCAAGTTGACATTTCAGAATTTCTTTAAAAGTTGAAAAATTCTGATAAACCATTATTATCTCTGCTCACAGACCCAAGTAGAAGTTTTTTGGAAAAGTGTTTTCTTATTTTGGGGCGCATTTTTAAAGGGTTCACTGTGCACTTAAATTAAACCAGAAATTAAACCAGAAAATCACGCCAAAGTACATTTCTAAACACAAGATTTATAAACAGGATCATTTATAGCCTGATGAAATTTTTTGCTCCAGCAGGGCGCTAGAGGCAAAACAAGTCAAAGTGTGTTACGTTAGGGGCCGCTTCACATTAGGGGACATCAACAATAGTTATCTTTTTACCTGACCTACTGACTGACTGTCACTTGTGAAATTACTTGCTTAAGTCTCAGTTTTCTCCAAAAGTTTGAAATTCGATTACCCCGTAACCCAAATGAATGGGCTAAGCATGCCCTCTTGTATGCATGCACAAAAAAATGTCAGCCTTGAGTAAAATTTGTCTTGGTTTCTTTTCAGGTTGTGAAGATCATCAGGCCTAGCGAGACGGCAGGAAGATATATCTCCTACCGCCTCGTCCAATGAGAACTACGGAGGAGCTACATCTTAATCCTCATAAGTACAGCCTAACCTGTGTAAACTGGCCACTCCGAAGACTGGGAAAGAGTGGCCAGTATAGGCAGGTTGCAAAACAGGGCATACTGATATCAAGTTGTTGGTCAATTTACCGTAACCCTCCAGGGTATTTTGTCTAGAAACCCTGCCAAACGCAGCAACATGCAACACTTGTTTAAATGACAAGCCTGCTGAGTGTAGCAAGATCCATCAGGTCAGAACATTTCAAGGCCAAACTGCCTCAGAGTCTGTGGTCACCAACTGCAGCAGGATACAACTGTGCCATTGTTCAATGGGACTGGCTCTCATTGTTTCAGAACTGGCTGTTTATGAACTAGTGTTGAATAGCTGAATGCATCAAAGTGCACCAGACTTTTCCACCTGATGCACTGTGTTGCGTCTGGCAGGGTTAGGGTTAAAGAAAGTGGAGTGTGTATCCATGTGGCCACAATTACATGTGTTAAGTTGCGTTCTCCATCAAACCTGAATTAAGACACTTCTGAAGTTTGTGCCTCACATTTTTCTGAGATTTAATCTCTCTTTTTGGAAACAACTTAAAGCTTCTTTTTTTACCAGTAATCGGAATGAAGACAATAATACTGTGAAGAGAACTTCCTGAAGCACTACAATTTTTTTTTGCAACAATGACCCAGACTCGATCGTCCGACTGTGAATCTCAAAATAATATCTAATATTAGATATCAATTGCTTCTTTATTTGTGAGGCGGTCTGGCAAAATGAGACAGAACTGGGCAGAGGTCAAAATGAGGTTTTGCGGGTATTAGGAAAGAGAATAAAATTCTCCTTACAATACTGTTTGTTGCAATTCAATCGGATATTCCATTGACAAGTTGTGGCTGTTTGAAGTTCGCATTTATCGACATGTCAACAAAAAGTAAAATACTGAGAAAAAGGCCTTTAAAGTTTCAAGTTTTGTATTCGTGAAAATGAAAGATGCCAATTGTTTTTCCTTAAAGAAACACCTTTCATTCCATGATTTTCATACTATTTCTTTAACCCTACCCTACCCCCCCCCCCCAGGCCCTTTTTGCTAGGACCATCCTCAATCTTCCAAAATCCTCCAAAATTATTTTCTAATGAAGGATACCCAGTGCATCAATCCTTCAAAATTGTCAGACAGTCCTGCCTCAAAAAAATGCATTCATCCTCAATCCTCCAAAATCCATGAATGTGCTTCAACACCATTCATCCCCAATCCTCCAAAACTGCCAGGAGGATTTTGGAGGATCGAGGTGGGTTAGGGTTAAAATATATGTAGTAGACATATCAAATAAATCTGAAAATTGAAAAGAAATCATCCCCATTTGGTTTTTGCATTTTTTCCACTATGGCCTGTGCCCAGTTGTCCCTCATTTTGCAAGAACGCCTCGCATTTGTTTATTTCTTCTTTGACCAAAAAAAAACATGCTTGCATCAGGGGGTATCTTTTTTTTTCTAGGTGAATATTTTCTTTTCTTTTCAGTTGTTTCTGTCTCCCACTCCCAGTAACACTTTTCTGTGAAGCCCTTTATTATGAGTGAATTTTCTACCTTGTAATGGGCGACTTCCATTTTATTTTAAATGGGAGTTTAACAGCAAGTGATCACTTTAATTGGAGAAAAAGAAATTCATCTTTCTCCCATGGCCTTTGAATTATTTTTGTTTAGTTTACATAAAGGAAAGTTGTTGAGAGGTGTATGTAAATAAATTCAATCGTGACGTTTTTAAAGAAGTTCACGTACCATGTCGTGATTTGCATTCATCTGATGTTGAGAAATTTTTAGCAAAATCCAGGTAGTTGGTGAGGGAAAATGGTTGGGCAGTGTCAATCTATCTGAAAATTGATATGAGATTTTGTTATGTTAGTTTTTTGGTAGACAAATTTTCCTCCTTTTTTTGGGGGGGGGACTGGGAGGGGGGGCGCAGGAAAATGCCTAGTCTGAGTATCACCTGTTGTCACTACACTGGAGCCCTCTCCGTATAAACCAATGTCTGATGTGTGAGCAATGCAAATTTTATGCGACTCGGTGCGCCAGCCAATCGGAGTCGGCTTTAGGAATTGTGACATCATTTCAATCAGAAATGTGGACTCGGCTGTTGATTGGTCAATTTGGCTGCTATGTGGACTCGGCTGTTGATTGGTCAATTAGGCTGCCATGTTTTTGTTATACAACGACGGATTACAGAAAACCTTAGACTGGTTCCCCCCCCCCAATAACATTTGAAGTTCGAAGGACAATGCAGAGACAGGGAATCAGTCTAGGAAAACCTGATACAATGCGCACCCTGAATGGTCAGAAACTCGAGGTCAAGACGCAGTCTTGTTTTGCATAATTAATCGCCGAATCTGCTCGCATATCATAGACCTTTGCTGTGCAACAGGATATTCCATAGACTAGGACATTACCAGGATGAAAAAAGTAGTTGAGAATTTGACCAACGTTGGGCAAGAACTTAAGTGACGCATTTCCTTTTTATAGCTTGGCAGTCAATGTGATTCCAAAATATTCAGTCCTTGTTTATTCAGTCCAATGTTTTTAAAAGGTGAACACACACAAAAATACTTATACATGCACGTCCATTATCTGACCTGAATATTTTTTTATATTTTTCATAAGTCTCCTTCAAAACAGTTGCAGAATATGGTCCATTATTATTATTTTTAGTTTTTTTGGTCTTTGCCATGCACTTATAATTTAAGGGGCCTTGGTGAGGGTTTCATTTTCAAAGGTGTCTGGTGACGCACATGAACATTTTTTCGGGAAACATTCTCACAAAAGTTAATAAAACATCTCAAAATAGGCCCCTTAAAAAGTGGAGTCTCAAGCTGAAGTTATATGTCTGCAAGAAACCAAGTTCGGAAAATGTGTATATCAATATTTTTCATACTGTTTTCAAAAATTTAATGATACAAATGAAAAGCTTTAAAGGAAGGAAGAAGACAAATAATGAGGAAACTTTTAAAAAAAGAAAGAAATAATAATAAATGGGGATTTAAAAAGAAAACTCACAATCGCAGTTTAATTTGTTTTTACCTTAAAATCTCTCCCAGGTGGTCATCATGATCCGGAAATGTGAAAGTATTGACTTGACTTTTTACCCAAGAATTTGGATCACTGAAATTCTTGAAAAGTTGAAATGTCATTGTCATCATTCTCATTAACCGTGTCTGAAAAAGTATACCCTGTCATTATGAAACACGAAGTTCCATGTGTGGGGTGGAGCTACAATCCTGGCCAAATCTCGCTGGGCCTCCAACCCCCCGGCCCCCGTTCAATGTTACCTCTTATTGCGCGGTGTGTGCTCCATCAGCTGGAGAGAATAGCATTGACCGGGGGAGCGGGGGAGTGGGTGACCGTGGCAGGCTCAGAAAGTGTCCCAACCATTTTGGCCGGGATTGTAGCTACGAATGCAACAGTTATTCAATGTCATTTTTAGACACGGGCTACAAAATGGAGTAAGCAATTTAAACCCACGAAACATCAACGTATCGCCCATCGACGTTTTAGCATTTTAAATCTTTGTTTCATTTTACGATTGCCGCTGTAAGAAAACAAAGAGTCTCAATTTTTAGTGCATTATTGTAGGCGCAACACCGAGCTTTAAAGATGTACTGAACGGTGCTATTTGTATTTATTAATTTTTTTTCGTATCTGTTATCAGGGTAGCCCCTTCAAATATAACGTGGTCTTCCAGGGGGCCCTGGGCATAAAATTACAAAGAATAAATTTATAAAACAGAAACTAGCAATTTAAAGGATTAAACGTATATAAAAACATCAAAACAGACAGGAAATAAGATCATATTAAATCGTAACCGTTTAATAATTAACTAAAAAGAGACATAAACGGGTATACAACATAAACAGTATGTGTATATGAAAAAGACATAGACAAAAATGCAGATTAAGACAATAAAATTATTTATATTTAAGCACAAAGTCACAAAATAAGTATTACGTGGACGTTCACCCCATAAAATAGATTTTTAATGGCCTTTTTTTTCCTAGAGATAAAAAGCTATACTCAGTCTCTTTTTAACGAGACAACGAGCGAAAAACAACGCCTGGGTTCACTTACAGAAATATTTGTATGCAAAATTTAATTAATGTGCGGTCAGGCAATCGTTCAAGTGGCTCTTAAATTTGTGCTCAAAATAGACAATTAAGAGCAAGGTTTTCGTTAAAATGTAAAATAGTTATTTGGCGAAAAACATGGATTTCGTTGAGGAGCAAGGACAGTATTTTCTTTAATTCAAAAACATGTCTTAATGAGAGGCTGGAATTATGTAGATTCGTACATGGCGCTTAATGGATATCCGCTGACAGGTTGCGTACAAAATAAAATCTACAATTATTAAAATCGAGGTAAAAAAACAACCCATGCAGCAAAACATAGCGAACTGACTGGAACAAAAGCTTCCATTTTATGGTCACTTTCCATTGGTCGGTTCCATGGTCATAATGATTTTAATAATCAAATTCTATGTCAAATAATTCATCGATTTACTTACAGCCCAGCGAGTGCATTATTGTATGCAAAATAAAAGAAAAACTGCCCTCGCTAAAGTGACCCGGCATTATTTCTCCGTACCGCGTAAGTGCCTATATCCCTCCCTGCGGGGACGTCGCCTAGGCGGCGCCCTCTTAATCAAACAACGCACGCGCGCGCTCCGACGACAAAACCGCGAGTCATTGGCCCGTGAAATCTGACGTAAATAAAATTATTCAAATCTCTTTGGTATGCAAAATGTAGCCTTCGCGTTACGTATTACATATGCAATTTTGTATTGGTTAATTAAATAACACTTTAACTCTCTAACCCCGAGAATGTAATTAATGCATTTCGTCAGAAATTTGAGCTTGAGAATTTCCTTTAGCTTTAGGCATTTATACCTGTGTCTCCATAATTTGAGCTGTTTTTGAGGGACAGTTGTCCGGCATTAATTCCCCAGATTTTTTTTTAATATAAAAGGTTTGGAAAAAGCCAACATTTTGGGGAATGGGAACCAAAACAAAGAATTTCTTTTCTCGTCAATATTATTGCTGAAAGAACCGCTGTTAACCCTAGAGGGCGGGCTTTAGTTGGGGAAAAAACTTACTTGAACCATG